ACATTTTTTATTCAGTATCAGTTTTTTTTCTTCTTAAATTTCAATACCAACAATTTAAAATAGGTTTTTTTTTCTTTTCTAGAGTTGAGCCATTGATTTAATTATAAGAAAGTAAAGTAACCGTTTTTGTTTAATATAAAATAATGTTTAAACAAATTACTTTATAGTTGTCCTTTATTGAAATTTTAATTTAGCGTAAATTTTTCTTCAGCTCAAGTTATAAGAATTTTTTTTTATTGATAAAAATTAATTTAACAATTTTTTCATAAAGTATGCATAAAGAACACATTTTAACTATCGATCTTCATGAAAAGTGGGAGAATTAGTGATGACTGTGCAAGTGAGGGTTTTTCTTATTACGTGTATAGATTATTACGGTTATATTTCAGAAAATCAGATATTCTACTTTTTTTTACATTCATAATGCAGTTACAATGTTCCACAAATATCACATACTCAATATTTCAATTAAAGCGAACATAATTTTCTATCTTTCTCATTTCTACGAATTTCACCTTATACATTTTATTAACATTAAATATTCATATTCATGTTATTCTGCAGAAAACGAGCCTTCTATTTTTTCTTCTTTCAGTTTTTTGCTTTTCATGCTTAATGCAATTACTTTTTTTTTTTTTTTATACAAATTTCATATATTTAGTATTTGAATTATAACAAAAAATTTTTTTTTCATTTTTAACTTTCTTTTTTCTACGAGTGTGCATTTAATTAATGTTAGCTGTAGAAAAACGGTTTAGATTATTTTCTAGAAAACAATTTTTATACTCTTTCATTCTTTACATGCATAATACAAAAATATTCAACTAATATCACATATTTAATATTTAAATTATAACAAGCATCAAATTTTGCAGATACAAATTATATGACTGAAATTTAACTTACTTTCTCGCTCATCATCGAACGCCATTATTCACTCAATAATTTAGGGTTTATCCTTTTCAAATAGGAATTTATTTGAATAATCCTGTACTCTTCCTTCAAAAAATATTACTAATAATCTACAGCTTTACTTAGTGAAATAACTATTTTGGTTCTTCCAACACTATAACAGATTCACCTCAACCGTTAACAATAGATATTGATAGAAAAAGTGTCATCTCAATTTTAAATGAAAATTTAGCTTTATCTAATTCAGTTATCGGTATCGTTGAACAATAAAGTTGAAAAAAAAAGAACTTTTTGAAAAGATGCCAAAAAAAAAGAAAAAAAAAAANAAAAAAAAAAAAAAAAAAAAAAAAAAAAACGTTGAGAAAATCTTTTATAGCGATAGCTTATCAAATATTTTTCTTCTGCTGTTATATTTCGAATCCGGGTTCTAAAAAAGAAGCCAATCAAAGTATAAACACTTTGATTTGAAATTAAAAAAAATGCTCTTTTAAAAGTTTTGAGTTAAAAGTATAATTAAAATTACGTCATGGAAAATGTAGTTATACTCACTGAATAAATAAGAAGCCTATCTATTTTCAAAAAAAAAAATAAATTGGAAAGATGTAAATATCTATAAAAAATCTTAATCCCTGTTTTAAATGTAACTAAATGCGGAAATTCTTTTATGGTAACAGACGCTATTTATTATTTCTGATAAAGCATTTTAAAGTTTCAATGAAATACTAATGATATTTAAAATTTAATGACTTCAAACTTCCCTCCGTTCGCTTCACTCACAAACCACCATGATTGTTTCGCATTCATCATTGTTCTTTTTCTCCGTAGAAGCCATTTTTCACTCAAAAAGAACATTTTGTTAATAAAATAATTAATTTTTATAAAATTATGTGACATCATTTTGTTAATATTGATATCACATAAATTTATAATAATAATAATTTATTTTGCAAACTTTTTATTAACTTCTTTATTTTATTAACTTATTATTTAATAATTTTTACCTAATTATTATTTTATCATAATCGTAACGAAATGACTTGAAAAGAAAGTAAAATAATAATAGTAATAATCAACTGTACTAGAAAAATTAATTTAAACTTAAGAATATATAATGTGAGATATAATACGAAGAATTACATGTGAAGTAATTTTACTTATATTGACTACAGTTCAAATGCCTGTAATAAAAGAATTGTATTTAACTCTTTTCACTTGACTTGGAACGGAAATTAGTTTGACAAAAAATTTTCTTGAACTGAGGAGTTTCTTGACGAATTTCCCTAAACGCAGCAAAACGCCCTCTTGTTAGAACCCAATACATACAAAACTTAAAAGGTATAGTAAGAAATTTGAAGACTTCGTTCTCAAAGAGAAAAAAAAAGTTATCAAAACTAAACTATATATACAATAAATAAAAACTACAGTATATACCAGGGGTGGCGAACCTTTATACACCAACGTGCCATTTTCTAAAAAATTGTTTAATGAAATCACAGACGTGCCGTTAAATAATTTTGACTTCATGATTATTGGGAAAATAATAATACTAAATACAATCAACTCAAATCTCTTTATTTACATTGAAAAGAAAATACATTTTGCAATGTCTCAGTTATACGCGTAATTCAACTTAAAGTAACATCAGTGGGACTTCTGTTATTGCAGATTAAATGACAAATAACTTATATTAGGTTGTAAGATATTAGTTTAAGCAGGACTGTTGATTTTTTTTACTAGTTATTTATTGTTAGCTTGTTTTTTATGGTTATTAATTGTTTTTTTTAGCATTAATTGTTAATTTTTTTATTAATAATTGTTTATTATTTTGTTTGTTTTTGTGAATTTTAATTTAATTGTTACATATGCTTCATAGTGTAATAACATTTGTGTAATAACAATTCAGAGTGCAATAACAATTGTGATCGGTGGCGTGCCCAAAATATTGCGTCGCGTGACATAAATGGCACGCGTGCCATTGGTTCGCCATCCCTGGTATATACAATACTAATGGTCAGCGACGGCAGGAAAGTAAGGTTGGTGGAAGCGAGCCTGAAGAGTTGCAAGAAAGAAAGAGAGAGAGAGAGATCTTAAAGTAGCTTTTTTTTCCTTTTTTTTTTTTTAAATGGAGGGTTTTTAGTTGACTAGTTTTTATGTTACGTTAAAATGTTGTTTGAAGTCTCATAATGTCTAAATTCCTCTTTGTTTTAATAAAGTTTTACATTTTCTTCAAGTTCAATGAGTTTATCTGGAGCATCGAGAAGTAATTATATCCTCTGACAAGTTACTTTAAACCGTGATGTCCAGTCCTATTGATAAGAAGGCCTTGTTTCCAAACAAACACCCAAAATAACTGAAAACGTTCTAAGCTTCTTTCCCCTGTATAAATAATAATCTAAAAATGCAATCTTATTTCTTTTAATTTCTAATCGAAAATTCCAAAAAATGACCGACAATTTAAGATCTCTAAGTACAGGAGGAGTTTGAAATTAACGATTTGCTGCATTCTGCTTAGAGAACAAGTTTTTATTCTCACTAAGTTAAAGATAACTCTTAGCTAATAAAACTAACAGAGTTTAGAGATAGCTCTGTGAATTAATAACTAAGCTGTGTTTTTAAAATGACTAATATTTGCAGCAATAGGTGCAATCTGTGTACAAAATTATCATTCAAGCAAACAAATATTTCTATTGAAATGAGTAAAATACGGAATATTTTATAATGAATCTCGCAACTTTTTAAGACTTTGCCACCTAAGCTAAACGCAACAAATCATACATTTCTATCTTCCTCCGTTTCTCTTTGATGAATTTTTTTGGTCGTTTTTTTATGCTCAGGATATTTATCGATGTGTTTAGTTAAAAGAACATGTTAAGTTTCATTCTGAAAACAGTAATATTTCAGTATTTAAGAAGACTTTATGATTGGTTTTAAATCGTGCATTAAATCTAAGTCTTTTTAAAAAAAAAGCAATTACCAAATTTAAAACCCCTATAAAAAATTCATAGATATTTCTATAGATTTTAAAGCTATTTTTCTCAAATTCACTAATGCCTTTTAACATGTTCTTTAATCAACTTCTACAACTTTTCAAATTTCAGTAGCTTTGTAAAACTTGACAGAAACATCATATATTATGACAAATCAAATTTATTATAATTAGTAAACAATAAATACATTTTGCTTCATTTCCACAACAAACAAAAAGTCGAAACGGCGAACAGATTTTGCAAATAGTTCAACAAACAACTGACACAATTAATTTTTGTGTTTCATCTTTTTTTGCCATAAAGTTCTTCCACCATTGTATCCAAGCGCTCCTGATCTTTCTCTAACAAAAGGGCGTCTACACATTGAGTGAAATAACTGTTCTTAAAGCAATTCGATCTGGAAAAAAAAATAATTAAAAATAGATTTTTTTTAACTTAACAGTTAGAGTTTAAATAATTTCCTCTTCTTAATCGAGCTATTTTTGACTAACCGAAAAGCTTGCATCATAGCTGTTGTTGTAGTTCATTTACGTCGCACTAGAGATGCACAATAAGCGGGGAAGGCCGCGGTTGAGATGGGCTGACTCAGTGGAGTCTGATTTTCTCGCAATTAATGAAAAGAATTGGAGATCAAAAGTAAATCGGAAGTCGTCATGGATTAATCTTCAGAGGAAGGCATTGGCTCACGTTGGACTGTCTGGCCAACTATGATGATGATGATGATGATGAGAGCTGCACAATGGGCTATTGGCGACGGTCTGCGAAACATCCCTGAGGATGATCCGAAGACATGCCATCATAATTTTGATCCTCTGCAGAGGGGATGGCTCCCCTGCTTTGGTAGCCCGACGACCTGCGCGAAATCGAGCTCTTTACGGTAGAACATTTTAACGAGAACCAATACCGCGCAACCTCGACCCCTATGCAGGCTGATCAAAATAGTCACCCGCCCGCACACTGACCTCAGCCAGTGATGCTTGACTTCGGTGATCTGCTGGGAACCGTGTCTTAACAATCAGTCCAATGCCCCATACATCATAGCATAATTTTATTTAGGTTCTTACTACTTGAGAAGAAGTGAAGTGATTATCCGTGACCATGTGTTTTAAACCAAATTTAATTGGATACCTGTAAGCGACGTCACCGGAGTGTGTCGAACCTGATTTAGTTTCTGAATCTACAAATGCCCTTATTTAGCCCCGATGACGTCACTTGCAGGTATCTAATTCTGACACAGATCATGAGTAAAGCATACAGCCATGGTTTTCTATTTCTGATGTTAATTGTATGCTTTTTATTGCATAAAATCAGAAAGTTTTTGAATTTGCAGATAGCATATTTCCTTTTACTAATGAAATATATAATCTAGCATATGAATAGGCGCTATGATTTCAAAAGGTTGACGAATTTTTTGTTGGTGCACTTTTACTTTAAAAAGTGGGTGGACATAGATTTGGATGTAACTGAGCCTTTGAATAAGTAAAAGTAAAAATTGGTTAAGTCAGAGGAAATTTTGCATTCTTAGAAAACTGATTACTTTTAAACATTACATGAATATGCATTCTTAGAAAACTGATTACTTTTAAACATTACATAAATATGCATTCGTTGAAAATTTTTAATAGATGGAAGTTATAATGAAAAGTTTTGCCATAAGAATTACTTTCTGGCAAAATCTAACACTCATGGAAGAGGCATTTTAAACAATTGCTCTTGCTGCTAATTTTTTCTTCTGCTATCATTATTAGAGCATAAGTCACTCGAGGCATTTGAAGAACAGAGTGGAAGAAGATATTATGCCACCTTTAAGTGAATTTGAGTAAAAACACGGGTTCTATTACGTAACAAGCTCTGATTCATATGTGTTTGAAAAAGAAAAAGCTCTCGCATGCCTCAGAATCGGTTTTTGTTTATATTCAGTGAATAGATGAAGCCTTTATTAAGAAAATATTTACGCTTTGGCTTTAGGCTTGATAATAAACTTAGCTACATCACAAAATAAAAATTTGACTAGTTATCCATTAGCTTTAATGTTTATACTATAACAATAAAAAATAAATATTAATGTTTACCATCATTTCCTGCACGGTACAATGAATGGAGGCGAAGCAATATACATATTTCTTGAGAGAAAGCTTTCGATCTGACAGACTCATTTAAAATATTTTTGTAATAGCGTTTCCATAACTGCAGAAAGGAGGGTTATTCCTCATTTTACTATTTTTAGCCAAAAATATTTGAAATTATATTCCACTCTGAAAACTTACATTGACTGTTACCTTAGCGCAGTAACTTCATCCACCGAGTCCTGTGAAATTTAAAGGTAAGTATAGAATATAGTATAGAATTATAGTATAGAAGAAAGAAGTTCACTATATTTATCGTGTTCCATCAAGATTTCAGGAGGGTGTCAATATTTTCTGCGTTTTGAGGGACTTTGCAGAGAATTTGAATAAATATACATTATTGCAACTTCACTAAGTTCACAGTAAAATTTTATTTCAACAATCACTATTACTAGCTTAATTTTTATATGCTAATAAAATTAAGCTAGTAATAGTGACACTTATCAATATTTTGTTTCAAAAACAATTATTCATTACACTAAAAAACAGCAAAAAATTAATTTTCACAAATAAAAATAAATTTTCAAATGATGTAAAAGATAAATATTTTTTAATAAGTTCAATGAAGTATGGCTCCTGATGACCACGCCTAATGCGAATTTTAAAGAAACTTTTGAAAAATGAAGTAAAATAAATATACACATTTGGGAATGCAAATTGATATTTAAAATGAGGGGGAAATGCTATCAAAATGTAACGAATCACTACTGAGGTAAGTTAGAAAAACATGTTTCTCCTCGGTAAAAACAGAGAAGAGTTGAAAGATAGTTCTTAAAAACCTCGAAATTTCATCAAACATTCGAACAAGTTTTGATGTTTTTTATGCCGCCTTCCTCTCTAGTGACTCGAATTTTTTTTCTTTTTTAATAGTTTATTAGTTTATTCTTAATTAAAAAGAAACTTGTTGTTCCAAACTTGCATACCTTTTTTTACGTAATTTTTGACAAAGGATTCCAAAAATATGTTAAGATTTAACAAATTAATTACGAATACTGCTTAGTTTAATTAATATTGAGCTGCTTAGTTAAATAACTAAGCAGCTTAAAATTGAAACATAAACATTTTTAAAAGAAGTTTTTGATATTAGCAATGGCACTAATTGCAAAACCTAGTACATTTTCAAATGGCTAATTTGAGAAGATGAAGAAAAGAAATTCATTTGGGTTTTTCTACAATATCTTTTATACTATTTTACAAAGCGGAACACTAAGGATTGAGCAAAATAATAACAAATCTAATTTAAATCCTCTCACCTGCATAAAGTGTGAACATCAGATTCTCTGAATAGTTGGTAACATTCTTCACAAACTCTATCCAGTCTAGCAAATTTCGATTTATCGTACACTCCCATGCATCCTAGTCCTGAAAAACTCCTTTTCACTTCAGTTTCAGGCGGAGCTGCAAACGATCTGAATAAAATGGCCAGGAACAGAAGACAGAAACCTAACCTAGTCATTGTTTCAGCTTAAAAAAAGTGAAAATAAATAAAAACTTGTTAGACGTTATTTTTGAAATATAATAGTTCAGAGTTAGATTTCTTTCTCAGAACAGAAACTGTAAACATTTTTTTCACCACTTTCTTTCGCAAAACTTCTTATTTGCTGCAAGATTGTCTGGGGTGCAATTTGATCCTTTAATCTTGTAAACTTTATTATTATTAACAAAGAGCAAAATGTAGAAACAGAACAAAGCATTGCGGCAAAATAAACAAACAAATAAAATAATAATATAAGAAACACGGGATTCCATTATTGAGCTATTTAGAGCCGTGGTGGCTAAGGGGATGGAAGATACGCCTTCCAATCAGGTGAACCGGGTTCGAATCCCAGCGATGATGGCTGAACCGAATTCCGCAGGCGGTTCTCTCCGACCAAGATGCTGACGTTAAAATATCCTCAGTGGTAGACGGATCTTGGGTGAGAGTCCTCTTGCCGTCAGCCTTACCGTGGGAGGTTTTCGTGGTTTTCCTCTCCATGTAACACAAATGTGGGTCAATTCCATCTCAAGCCCTCTACGAAGACAAATTTCTCCCAATACTTGATCTAGGAGTTCCCTTATCATTTGGATTGAGTTCAAAATTACAAGGTTACGGAGTTAAACAATAGTAGTCGTAAACCCAAAATTGGGTCGGCTGTTCAACAAAGGTTACTATTGAGCTATTTAATTACATCCGGCTGAATGCCTTGATTAATTCAAAAGATTGAAGAAATTTTGTTTGATAATTTGAAAGATGTTCGTTGACTTAACAGATACCAATTTTTTAACGGTAAAATTTAAAAAAGTGAAACAGATGTTTTACCAAAAGCGCGTGGAATTTTAACCTATTGTAATTCACTGCATCATTCGTTGAAAGTAGGGAATAAAAGAGAGTTTTTAAGCAATGATGGAAAGGTAGTTTTGATCTTGTTAGCTCATGGAAGCTTAACTAATTTTATTGCTTACCGAGCTAACAGCAAAAAGAAAAAAATATGTTTAACTGTTTTCAGACATTTTTTTTTGTGACTGATTACTTTTTAATAAAAGTTTCGGCCCACAAAACTATTACATAAAATGCATGGTAATAATAGACGCAAAATATTTTTATTTTTTATTTTGGATTGAAATTTTTGTTATTAAATTAAATGGCAGATTTTTAAGTGACAAATAATGATAAACAAAACAGATTTATTTTACTCTACATTCACGTTCAGTGCATTCTAAAATGTCGACGTTTGTAGATGTAAATGAGAAATAATGATATTTCTTAAATATTTCGAGCACCAAAATGACTATGTAAATAGTAAATTTTGACATTCCGCAGGACATGTTGACATTCACTAATTGTTGACCGAAACATGTTTAAAAAAAAGCTGTTGAAAATTAAGAATATGGTGTCTGATTAAAAAAAATTACGCCAGTCTCAAGATAGCACTTATTTCATTTAATTTAGATAAAACTTTTATATTTTAATAATATTAGCATAATAAAAAATTTAAACTTTTGTTTATTTACGTAGAATTTTTGGGAAATGCTAAAAAAAAAGAATTTCTAACAATGTAATTTTTATTAATTTTAAATCATTTCATTTCCAATTAAATCTTAAAAAACTTTGTTTCTTTAATTTTTTAAGATACGTTAAGATAACAAAAAAATCTAAATTTCAGTTTATTTTCGACGAATGCTTAAATAAGCGCTTATAAGCTTGACTTACATTTTAACGATTCTTTTTATTTCAAATCATTACATTTGCAGATAAATCTTAAAAATTCTTTAGTTTAAGATTTAATAAAATCAAAAAGAAGAAAAATAAAACTTCAGTTTAATTTTTTAGAACTTTCTGCGAAATATTAACAAAGACGAATAGCTTACACTTTTTCAATATTGTTTAATAAATCATTACATTAACGATTGAAAAATAAAACTTTTCTTGGTTTGATTTCTAGCGTTTAATAACATGAAGAAGACAAAATACTTGTACTTTAGTTTAATTTCGAAGAATTTTTTTTTGAGAAATTCGAACAAAAAATGAGAAATGCCCGAAGAAAAAATGAAATAATGAATAGCTTACGTTTTTACGATTCTTTTTAATTTTAAATCATTACATTTACATTTAAATCGGAAAAATTTGCATTTAAATCAGTAATGTTGATTTTTTAAACTATTCAATTCAATAAGCATCATATTTATTTGAGAAAATAATTTTATCTATTGAGAACTTACTTACTGATTGTGGTATGTTCTCGTTACTTGACTAAAAGCGATATTCTGCCGTTTTCTGTGTGACCAAATAAGGCATATATACTCTAAATCAGAATATCTTTACAGTTCCTTTGAGACTTACATCCATCTTACAAATCACGTATGTGCTTGGAGTAATCATCGATTGTCGTCTTACGTGACATTTTTCTTCTCTTGGAGTACATATTATACGACGAACTTCAACCTTAGAGAATATCTCATAATAATTGCAGATGCTTCTGAGAATTAATAACACTATCTCTGGACAATGTCTAGGGAATTCAGTGCTAAGTTTGCTGGACAGACGGAATTCTGTGGCTTCGTGAAGAAAGGAAGTGGCCATTTGTGATTTGAAGTATGAAGAAAAGAAGAAACAGAAAGACTTTACCCACGGTATATCTTCTGAGGATTTGATCTGAAAGTTTATTTGTGTTTCGCAATTTAGAGATAAGCCAAATGTAAATAAAATTTAAGTTTCGCTTAAATATTTACAAATATGAACTGTTAAGGGGTACAAGAGTTGCAAATAAATAACATTTTTTAGATACAGGATATTATAAGAAGATTTGCAAATTTTGAAATCGAAGCATATATTACTCTTTTTCATCTTCAGAATTCACTATTAAACATGCCCAAAATTTTATATTTGTTGGGAAACAAAATAATTTTACTTATCTTGGTTAACTTATGGATCTGAAACATGATCCTTAATTAAATCACAAGCAGACCGGCTAGCTGTTTTTGAGGCTTGAGGAAAAAAATTTCGGTGCTATAAATTTCGATCGCTTATGGAGACTATGACATAATTTTGATCTATATAGGCTATTCAAGAAAGCTGATACCAACAAATACAACAAAATAAGTCGCTTAAAGCTTGTGGGTCACACCTGTCGAATGGACCCTTCTTCCTTGACATTTAAGATCTTCAATTACAAACCAATACAATATAGGAGTAGCGGCGGGGACAGCCAATATTTTGCCACAATGCAAATTTTTTCGCAGTTGATTGCATAATTAAAAAAAAAACTTTCTTTTTTAATGACTGAACAAAAATTAAGGTTATTATATCCACTATTGTATTTTTTATTTAGATCTTTTCCCGCTTTTATTATTATTTTTTTTTAATTAGTCAGGCTTATTCTAATACTTTCATCAGAGACAAAAGGTCACTTTCAAAAAGAGAAAAATATTTTAAATTATTGACTTAATTATCGTCTGCTTTAAGAAACTATTAGGGTAATTTTGTTCCATGTATTAACTCGTGGGTGCTCGTTAAAGCAGCTGTTTGAAAAAGCAGGTGAAGTGAATATCGGTTTGTTTTTTTAAAAGAGTAAAAGGTGTACTAATTAAGACTTCGGTAATGCACCCATTTTCTGGAATGTACTCGGCTAAAAGCTTGGTCTTTCAAAATAAGATCGTTTGCTTCATTTAAAATTTTAATTCCAACTTTCTTTTTCTTTTTAAAAATAACATTAAGGTCTAGTAATAAAACATAACTTTATTTTGCAAATTTATAGTTACTTTTTTAACTAGTCATTTTTACCGGTATACTTACTTATTTTATCTGGATAAAACATTAGTTAGCACATGTTTCGAATTCAGATGTTAAATCAAACGAAAAACGAAACAAAACAAGAAAAATAATAATTTTCATTCTGAATAACCTTGTAGATGGTAGGAATGAAATAAAATTCTGTCCTTTCAGTATAAAAAATAATATATTTACATAAAACTCTTTAAAAATTAAAGCTTCTGTGAGAGAAATTCATTACCATATAATCATTTCTACCTAAAGGAGAAATAAAAGGGTATAATTAACTATGAATACTTTATAATTCAATCTAAGCGTCACTAATCTAGCCAAATGTTTGAATTAAAATAAAGAATGGAATGAATTCGTAATTTCAACTTCGGCTTTTTTTTTTTACTTGGTTAGGGTTTTGTTTATTCGACATTTTTTCCCCTTTGGTTGTTTATTTTTAGTCTTTTAAAGTTCATTTTTATATATATAGTGCACACCTTATGTATGATAGCGTATATTTAAAATCGCTTGGGAAATATTGTTTTGAGTACGGTTCGAAAATTAAATTGCCCGACGTGCCGAAATATGCAATTTTTACCCTTATATGCCCGGGTAAGCATGTGAAATATTCAGTGATATTCTGAAATACTGACTAATCTCACCTCAAATTTTGAAGAAATCAAGGGAAAGATAATAAATAAAATCAATTATATTTGATAAGACCTAAATATTATTGAATTTAATTATCTAGATAAGAATTTATTAAACAAAGTTTTATAATTTTTGACTTCTCTGGTAATGCTTATTTTTAATTTAAAAAAAGTTAATAGTTTCATAATTTAAACGCACACATTTAATGCTTTGTGTTTAAGCATTTGGCATATTTTTGAATAATTTGATTCTTATGCGCATAAATATCAGTTGTCATAATTGTCTAAAAATCAAAGTAAATAATTATTTTTTTTCTATATTTATTTTTAAATAAATACTTTCGTTTTAAAATACCTTTCTTCTTTATTTAGAATATTTAGTTTTGAATTGTATGACTTAATATCACTTACTTTAATTCATTCACTTCCTAATGTCAATAAAAAATTATATAGATATTGCTGTATTCTTTTAAAATTAAGTTTTCTTACATCCTTTGTTATATTAATAAAATGATAATAATACATTAATAAAGCGTCCTTATTTTCGAAACTATTAAAGTCCATAATTTAATATAATATGCGACAACTGTGTTTTCAAATCTATTTTTCACTTCTGATCTGGATTAACTCTAATGACTATAGAGCAAGAAATAACGAAACAATTGATGGAACCTGAAGGATCCAAAATGTTGACCAATCATTTTACCAAATCGTCAAGAAGAATTACTTTAGTCTAGGTTGTTTCCTGTATTAAAACATTTAATAAGGGCTAAATTGTATGTTTAGTGTTTCATATAAGCAAAATTAACATTATAACTCTTTTAAAATCTCACCATTTTCTTCTAGTGTAAGCTGATTAATTTTTTCGGGGAATCGAGTGACCTAATTCTAATTAAATTTTTTTGAGGATATAAGGGAGCATTAAACAATTAAAAGATTTCAAATATTTAATAATTTCGCATTTCTTAAATTAAATATTCGCTGTCGAGAAAAGCAAAGAAAGTTGAAGATCAAATGAACAAATTCGAATAAAATTTTTTGGAATAACAAACTTTCTCAAGTAAAAATTGATAAATATTCCTTAATTATTCCCTTACATTTAATGTAAGTTCATCTCCTTAAAGTAGTGAAGTAGTTACGAAATTCCAAAGTAGTTTGCAGTCACTAGATTAACGTAGCTGTAATTAACTACATTTGTAACAAAGTAGTTCTTGTAGACTGCAAAAATAACGTAATTTTTCCGACCACTGTCTCGGTCTATTTGGGCTCGCAAGCAAAATTAAATTTATGAAACTTGTGCAGCAAATAGACTGATGAAATTTGTTTGCTTTACACAGCTTAATTCTGAACCCCTTCTTATTAACGCAATAGCAGGTTTGACCATCTGTTTAAAACTGGAGGCCAAAAACATTCATTTTAAAAATATTTTTAAGAACAATCCTCTTGTTTGACCTGACAGACTTATCAAGGTCTTATTCTAAGTTGTTACATTAAGTAGAATGCTATGTTCCTTGAGGCAAATAACCACAAATTTAATAATTTGCACCATACATTTTTATTCAAAGAAAATATTTTGTGCTTTGTTATACATTTTGCTTATCATTCAACATCAACAGTATTTTTTCAACATCCCATAGCTGTTCTAAGCTATATTTATCTTCTCTTTCCATAAAGCTGATCTACCATGTAATCCAATTGCAATCGATCTTTTCGCAGTAATAATGCGTCAACACATTGAGTAAAGAAGTCATTCTTGAAACAGTTGGACCTAAAAATTAAAGTAAACTGAATTATAATTTCATATCACATCTGGAAAACAATGTACTGTTTATCTAAATGTATTTTGCATTTTAAAAAGTGAAAACGAAGTTTAAACTTTACTAATATATTTTCACTTTACAAGATTGTGTATAGGCTGTTTCATAAAGACCACCCTTGATGCATATTTTTAGAATACCAAATTTTTATCTTTGATTGCTAAACAACTAAAACTAGTCTCAGCAGGAAATTCCTCAAACATCATAGACACTGCCCTTATGGCAATGTAAGTTAATTCTGTAGTTAAAATTTACCACATTATTTAAATTATTGTCTCATTGTAAATATATAATACTGATTTAGCCTTATTGAAAATATCTTCAGTTGCAATATGAAAACTTAAAAAACTTTCTGATTAATTTGAGAAGAAAAATTTATTAGTAGCTTTTTCAAATCACCAACGTTTTTGATTATGTTCAGTCACTTGATAATGTCAATGATTTGATTAAAATATTGCATTCATAAACAATAGTTATATACGAGTAAAATAATATTAGTTGGATACTTGCAACTAATCACATCATTGTGTCCAATCACGTGGTTGTGCATGGCTCGTTAACGTTACAGCTTTAAGGCTTGGGTTTATTATCAGGCTTAATCAATTTTCGGATTAAAAATTGGAAACTTGCAAGTGACGTCACGCATGTGCATCGAACCTGATTGGCTGACCCACGCGTAACGTAGCATGCAAGTACCCAATTATGAGTCACTTGCCCTCCTATCGAGTGACTACTTTTATGAGCATATTAAAACTGGCATGAAAAAAAAATATTTTGAAACACATAAAGTTACATTCGAAAATCCGAATAAAATAACTGTACGTTTCAAAGTTTCTGATAAAGTTTCAAAATTTTTGATAGTTCTTAAAAAAAAAAAACATTTTGATACATAATTCTAGCGTTCTTGTTGAAAAGAAATCATTAATATGATAGATGAATTGGTTTATTGGATTTACACACATTTGTTGCTGTTGTTGTTGTTGTTCATTTACGTCGCACTAGAGCTGCACAATGGGCTATTGGCGACGGTCTGGGAAACATCCCTGAGGATGATCCGAAGACACGCCATCACAATTTTGATCCTCCGCAGACATGATGGCACCCCCGCTTCGGTAGCCCGACGACCTGCACGCGAAGTCGAGCACTTTACGGTAGGACAGTTTAGCAAGGACCAATACCGCACACCCTCGGTCCCTACGCTGATCCAAGGTACGCTGATCCAAGGATCCAAGGATTGGTAAGCTGATCCAAGTGGTCACCCACCCGCACACTGACCGTAGCCAGTGATGCTTGACTTCGGTGATCTGCTGGGAACCGTGTCTTAACGATCAGTCCACTGCGGGACTGCACACATTTGTAGGCTTGTGTGATCAATTTAGGCTTATAAACCTTTGTCAAATAGAAGGATATAAAGCCCAATACAAAGAACAGCTTGAAGATACATCCAGGGTACATACAGCAGGATTTGAACCCGCGACCTCCACGCTTAGCATAGCGTTTGGCGAGTGATAGCGCTCGGTCTGGGAGGCCCCTGTGATGGATGAAGGAGTCATAAATGAGTAGTCTATTAAGAGAAAAATTATTGCCAAAATCTGTCAATTAACTAAAAAGGACAAACATTATAGGTGAATAAGCTTTTAAGGTCATTTTAATTTTCGGATGAAATCAAAATGTTTTCGGACTTCGTTATTTGTCTTTTTCGAAAATAAATCTTAACATAATTAGTTTATTTCCGATAGTCAAAAGATTTTGCATCTTTTTCAGTTTAGTTAACTTTGACATAAAGTAAAGAGCATTTTCACTAGATGCAATTTTTTCCCGCATGCCAATGAGAACCTGGATTAGAAAGTTTCTCGTGGGGGAAGTAATAAGAGGCCAGTTGATGACTGCCCGGTGATGGTCTATTTTAGTGGAAGAATGAAGGTGGCCGGACGTAAAAGAGTGTGAAATCTCCATAAAAGTTCTCAAAATGTATTTTAAAAAAGTTAGTTTTTCTTAAGTAAATGATTCTAGGTTCATGTACTTACGAATCACAACTAATACTGTCACCGTTACCTTATATCTTGATAATTGCAGAAACAAAGAGTGGACCATACCTGCAAGATGTGTGAACGTCAGATTCCCTGACGAGTTGATAACACTCTTCACAAACTCTGTCAAGTCTGGCGAATTTCGACTTATCATAGACGCCCATGCAGCCAAGGTCAGAAAAACCCCTCTTGTCGACATCTCTTTCGGCTGTAATAGCCACTGCGATGAAGAGGACGGAAAAAATGGAGGGCAGGAAAATATATTTCATGGTCCTGTCTGAACAAATAAATAAATAAATAACTTAATTACTAAAAAAAATATTCAAAGTTTAAGAAATATTTTCAAGTTGGATGCCACTGTGCATAATTTAGGTAATGTATTCAATTCGAAAAGATTCAAAGGTGGGATTTATATTTTACAGAAATCGCAGAGTTTTGTAATCTAAGTAATTTCAGGGTGACATTTTTTCGTGATCAATGTCCTTAGAAATAGAATAAAAGTAATGTTAGTTTTCCAGAAGTAATGTTAGTTCTTTGTATAAATTTGCAGACATGCTACTATTGAAATAGTGAGAAATCGGGGAGAAAATAGTTAAATATAATAATCGGTAAATGTCGACTTCTAAAAAATATAATGCGAAAACAGAGAAGAAACAAATATCAGCACCGCGATATATTAACGATATATTTCATTCACTCATCAGTGTGCATAAAGTATTCAAATCTAAAATTTCGAAATTAAGATAAGATGTCTTGTGTGTGTATGTTACAGAAATGAAAGTGTCTTGAAATTTAATCGAAACCAGAGTGCAAGCGTTCTGGGTGTTTTAGAAATAATTGTATGAGTGTGTTTTAGAAATATTAATAATCTGTATGAATTTGTAGGTATATATGATATATCGAAACCAGAGTGCAAGTATTTTCGTGTCAGTCTGTTTTAGAAATATTAATAGTTCTTTGTATAAATTTGTTAGTATACTGAAGTTAAAATTATGAAGAATCGGAAAAAATATTATAAAATAAATGCTATATTATCGATTAATGCCAACTTCTGGGAAGTACAATGCATAAAAATAAAGAAAGAAAAGAAAAGGAAAATTTATCGTGTAATTAATCGTGGATTCGCTTATGTCATGATTCAAAAGACAACCAGGCTGGACACACACGCGTGACGTCGCTTGCAGGTATCCAATCAAATCTGATCCGAAAATTCATTAAGCGTGATAATAAACCAAGTCTAATAGTTACAACTTTAATACACCAAGCACAAGCACGTGATTAGGCCCAGTCATGTGATTTCAGCGCTCCCGCGGTTGGGCTTAATAGCGTTCTTCTTCGCGCGTTGCAAGTACCTATATTGAAGAACTGCCAAATGCCAAAAATTTGCATTCCTTAAAGTTGCTTTTACTCTTTGCATATTTCATCATACGTCTGGAACTATTGAAGCGAAATAATAACGTTTAGTAAAACTCGTTTATGCAAATATATTTCAGCATAAATAATTATTTTTTAAATCATTTATTATTATATTTAGGCTAAATAATGATCGGAAAAGTTTTGAATAGTATAAACTTTCACGTCATTTCAAACTACGAAATTTCAATTAACTGAATAAAATCTTATGAAATCGGTCGAGAAAACTAATTCTAAGAATAAGATATTTCTTTAATTTATGTGTGTGTATCTAATGTATACTTTTTGGGGATATTTCCGTATCGTGATCTGTCGCGCCAACTACAATCGCCAAGGTGCCAAAAAGATTTTAAACTTGCAATTTAAAAAAAGAAATATATATATATATACTCGTATGTTTCACCGGGGATCGTGGCTACGAGTTATACCTTTTGAGTTGATCCCTTTCTGTGATGTTTTTTCTTCGGGCCGCTGCCCGGAAGTTGCCAAGACGTGGCGATTATTTTGCCACAGATCACGATACGGAAATCTCCCCTGCATTTTGACTCTTCTTTAAAAAATATGTAAAAAAAAAAAAAAAAAAAACGTTTATTGCAGAAGATCCTGAATATAACACTGCACAGGATGCACCTGAATGCACATTTCTGTTAAGATTCATGTCAAACAAAAATTAATATTTTACATAAGATAAGGAAATCCAGCATACATTATGAAGGGTATTAATGAAATTAATATTGATAAAAATATGGATATGAATATGGATAAAAAATTTCTATTTCGTGGTACTAAAAAATTATTATATAACATTAAAACTCATATTGTTACTGAAATAATTCAAGCAATATGTAATATTGCGTGAAAGACAGACTTTTCAGATTGATTCAGGTAAATCAATATAATAGGTTAGATATTTTTTTATTGTTTTTTTTACAAACAAATGGTTTCTATTTTATGATAAATCAATAAATATCTCAATACTAAGAAAGTGTATTGATTATTTCATAATAATGCTTTATTCAAAGGTCATTTCAGAAATGAATGCAGATATGTGATATAGATTATTATTCACGAAAAATTTAAAACCTAAGATGACATAGACATGTGAAGATGAATGTAAGTTAATATGAAACGTATTTAAATTTATTTTATATCTTTTTAATAATGACGCATGCTAGTATTTGCTATAATTAATATATATTTTTCCTATAACATTCTTAAAGGAATCTATATATTTCTAATATGCAAGCGAAAACAAAATGGAATATCTTTTTTTAGAGAAGGAACATTCAAAACACGTCTGAAAAATATTTGTAAATAAACAGAATTCGGAAATTTCAACAATCAAATCAAAGCAGAAGTTTTATAAAAATAATGTTATTCATATATATGCATACATGCGAAATTTAAACTAATAATATATGCAATATTACTTAATACAGCTTTGTTTTAAAATTGTTTTTTTAAGAACTTAATTTTATCCTAAAATTAATTTCTGAATTTTTAAAATTTTTAAAAGCTTAAGAATATCTTTCTTCGACTTAAACATATAGTAATAAATAGAAAGACATTGAAGAAAATAAAATTAATGCATTATCATAAACATATAAAAAATTATTTTTCACATAGCTTCCAATATTACAAAGACGAGAAATAAAGATTCTTACTTTTTTAACAAATTAAGCCTTTAAAGAACGTAACTTTTTTCATTTCATTAGTGCCCATATAAATTAAAAGTGATGAAAGCATTTCGTAAACTGTTATTCTTATATAAGACGCATGGTTTTTCTTTAAAAAAACTGTTTTTGATAAAGGTTTGGGACATGATATTTGTCTATTATTTTAATATAAATTTTCTTTAATGCATAAATATAATATAAATATATATATAAATATAAATATTTATATAATAATATTTATATAATATAATATTTATATAATATAAATATTTAAGTAAATTTTTCGAATAATTAAATATAAATTTGTCGAATAATTAAATAAAATTAACTTATTTAAAGTATTTTTTTCGATAAAAGTCGAAAAAATTATTTGTCAATTGCCATATTTGTCATCGATATAACATACCCTATGAATTCGCATTTACCATAAAAGGGCAATTTTTAATACTAATTAATTTTAATTTTATTCAGCTAAGTTAACAATACTTTTAAAATTTGTATGCATTATTAACTTACAGCTTTTGTAAAAAATAAAATAAAACTATGCAGTCATATAAGTCATAAATCATATAAGTAAATGATAACTTACTTTCCTTATTAGTAAAATACTATCTGAATGACTTTATCATCTCTATCAAACATTATATATATACTTTTTCATTTCCCTATGGGTAAAATTGATAATTACCTCACGCGTTTGCGTGGCATGTATAGTTAAGACATGTGGTTATTTACTACAGATTATTTAGTAGCTGACCTTAGGGATTTTTATGGAGAGGGAAAACAAGATGAACTAATAACTTTTTAGGAAAAGTTTCCAATTATGTTATTGGCATTGGTATTTTTCCTCGCCTTTAGAGATAAGTCAAAAGCTGAAATTACTTTTCCAAAAATATAAGAGAAAACGATCTATTAAATGTATCTCAGGGGCGATAGACTCAATTTTAGATACATATGTTTATAGAGAAGGATGAAAAATGTCACACAAATTTCAGACACATATCATACTTACCATTCGAGTTTACTTTGACTGGGAGTGTAATTAATTCAAAAAGAAGATCGTAAAAATGTTGTTTACGTGGTTTCCATAATCAAATTCTTTTTACTTTCTCCGAGATTAAGATAACAATATTTATTCATAATTTATTCCTAAACTGACAATAAAAGATACCACTTTCAAAGGATTGCGCTTTTCTCAAGAATCTGCATTTATTATACACTTAAAAAAATATTTTTACAGCTTTAAAAAATGTATTACTGGTATAAACTGACTGAAGCAAAAGCATCCTCTCATGTCTTTTTTTGGAAAATGTTGAAAAAAGCTTCATTTAAATATTTTCTTTTCATTTCCAACATTTTTTTAAATGCGGCAGCAATATTTTAAAGTACAACAATTAGTAAACATTTAAATCTCCAAGTTGTTACTAAATTAAATGGCATCATACATAAAATAATGCTTTTTTCTTCCTTTCATTCTTAAGTCATGATTCCATGAAAACCAAATTTATTTTGCAAAATATATATACCGTCGGACCTCTATTTAACGAAGTCGCTAAATCCCGATAATAAGTTCGTTATATGGAAAATTCATTAAATAGAAAATCATCTTCTGAAAAACTTAAGCGACACAAAACTGGTTTCAAATTCATAAACGCTAGACATAATTAAAATAGCAATGGATACACCTTTATATTGTAAAGTAGTATCTACTATATATTTTATAAATCTTAATCATAAAAGAAATCTGCATTGAAAGCAAGAATAAAGCAAAACATTATCCAGTGTTACACAATCATGCTATATACATTTCTAACTGAAAAAAGCTAAATTTATGCATAAAAGTAATTTTAAACATACATTACCACATGCGTTTCAAAGTTTAATTGCTACTGACAAAATCCGTTAATTTTGTATTTTATGTTAGAGTTTTTCGTTAGAAATGCGAGCAAAAAGAGTAAGTGATTTTACTGCTTTCTCTAAAAGTTAAGTGGCTTCGAAGCTTAAAATGTTCTGAAATATTTTGGGAAATAGGGAAAGCGGATCTCAAAGAAAAGTTCGTTAAATATAAAATTCACTTCTCTATTTGGAAGTTACTTTACGAAGAAATTTCCAAAATGTTCTTGATTCCTTGAAAAAATGCAAAATAAAGAAATTCGCAAAATTGAAGTTCGTTATATAGAAGTTCGACTGTGTATATATTTTAATACATAACCGGCGTTGAACAGCCAACCCGATTCTGAGTTTACGACTATCAATGTTTAACTCTGTAGCCTTGTAGTTTTGAACCAAATCCAGAAGACAAGAGAGCTCCTGGATCAAACATTGGGACAAACTAGCCTTTGTGGAGGACTTTTGGTGGCACTGACCCGCATTTGCGTTACACGCAGAGGAAAACCAAAAAAAAACAAAAAACTTCCTGGATTAGCCCGATGGCAAGGAGATTCTAGCCCATGACCTCTCAACCACAGAGGATATTTTAGGTCAGCGTTGTGGTCGGTGCGAACCGGGAACAGAATTCTTATCGACCAGCCAACGCTAGGATTCGAACCTGGTCACCTCACTGCTATAATTGGTAGAGAAAAGAGACTGGTCTATTTTTGGTCGGTTTTGAAGATGAATCTTATTATATATGTGTAAAACAAACTGGATTTTCATTTTGACCACCTTTAATATGCATATTTTTAGAATCCTTGATAAAAATGTAGTCAAGGTGAAAGTATACGTATTTGAAGTCAAAATACAACTATACAATATCTTCTGATGCAATATATATTTAAGGTGGTCATTACGTAACACCCTGAATAAGGTTTACGACAATGTAATGCTGCACAAAAGTAACATATTGTGTGACTGCTTTTATGCAGATTAAATTTGTGATATTGATAATATTTGTGGTAAATTACAATCAACACAAAACATAAAATTTTCGTTACAGCGAGCATGTCGTTATACGCATATTTAATGTTAAAATTGCAATAAGAAACTCGAGTGTAATAGTGTGAAATAGCTTCTGATGTCATTAATAATACTGAATGTTAATTTCAATAGTCAGCTGTTATGCCAAGAAAAATAAAGAATCATGGTACATATGTCGTCAATCAAAGGTCCTTCATTTTGAAAAATGCCTCCAAAGATAAGTTAGTCGGTGTTCGCCCTAACATGATTGCTTTATAAACATGATGAGCACGCTTTTCTGTATTAATATTATTTATAAAATAAAATGTCTTCCCTTTATATTTTTTCCTTAATATTGCTCAATCAGCAGGAAAGTGTCTTTCTCTCAAGAAAATTTGCCGAATTAGCGCATGATAGCAATTTCTTATCTCATTGTAAACATAAAGTTTTTATATTTTTAATACTTTTGCATTTCGAAAGTGACTTAGAAGCTTGACGTTATTGTATACAGGCATCGAGATTTTGCAGTAGCTTTTCTTTCCTTTCCACAATGTTCTATGAATAAAAATAGAATTGCATACCTTTTGACATGGATTTTTTCCAACTAAATAAACTTTTCTCAGTTTATAAATATTATCTATGTGTTTTTTTTTTTAAAAGAAGAAAAAAGTAAAAGTCTAGAAGAGTTTTATTGTATCCGTATACGGGGTAAGGGTGCTATTTTTCAATCCTGTGGCCTCCAACGATCCACTCTCTTGTTTCAAAGAAGACAGAGGGTCGTGAAAGGCAGCTGGATTGTCAATTAACCGACCGCGCTGGGGTTCAATGAATAATGCAAATTACGCAAGAGAATTTTTTTTTAAATGCAGTATTTTATCAATCTATTATGTATTTGTATCGACTTTTTTTTCTTCAATTTGTTCTTCAAATACATGATTATAACGGTGGAATTAAAAAAAAAATAATTTGAAAAACATCTAATTTCAAATAGGAAAAATAAAAAATGTCTTCGGTATAGTTGTACGACTAATCAATAAACACACATTAAAAACATTTTTGGAAACGGAAATCCGGCCGAAACAACCATAACCGTGATATCTGATTAAAAAACTTCATTGGTTTCAAAAATATGCTGATGAAAATAAAAGTCTGCATGTTTCAAGCGATCAAAAATAAGCTCTTATTCTCAAGACTTAAAAGGCGTAATGCAAGTCTTGAGAATACGCACGCATATTTGATCGCCCTAAGCATGTCATTCACGTCTAACAAGTTCAGAGTATGGGTGCTTAATTTTGAGCGCTTGCAATATCTCGACTTTAATTTCCATCAACATATTTTTTCAAGTAATATCTTCCAGCTTTAGTTTCTTAGGGTCATTTATTTAATCATAACCCTGGTTATGAAATGACTCGTTAGCGATTGGTAACGTATTTTTGCAACTATATGCATTCACCCGGAGGACAATATAACATGTTCTATTGTGCCCTGTCTAGAAACAAATGTTTCATCGTACCCCGGGATAATTACGGCCGTAATGAAGCTTAATCAAATGTAAGTTGTGTAACCTACATTTAACCAACAAATTTCTGTGACAAATTTAAATTATTTTTGATAGAAAGTATCATTGTATCTCGTGTTTCATTGTATTCCATCTTCTCCTACTCATTAGAGGTCGCAAATTAATATTTGAGAGTGGAAAAATAAAATTTTTATAGAAATCTATCGAATTATTAATAAACGTGGGAAGAAAAACTTAAAACCCGTGCACTTGCTTGTTGAAATTTCAAAGCTTTTCTGCTTTTAATTCCTTTCTGAATACCTTGATAATCAAACAGGTTTTGATGATTTTTAATCCAGTGCTTCTCGTTTTTTCCTCAATTAAATATTTATTTGTGACCGTCAATATAGATACTATATTTTATTTTTTATTTTCAGCAAAGACTCAAAAAATATGCATTAAAAGTGGCCATTAGGAACGCTTTGTATACAATACTATTGCGCTATTTGTTGCTAAAGTAAATGTGTTTAGTAAAAAATTTATCTTTTTAAAAGATATTAAATAAGTAGGGGTATTTGAGCCTTAAAATATTACTCAATCGAGGATTATTCTAAATTTTAAAATTATATATTTAGATTTTGTTGAGTTTTCTTTTTTCCTCCTATTCCTCAAAAAAAAATAAATAAATAAATAAATAAAATTTTAAAATAATTTTTTTTTTAATGATTTCCTTGCTTTATAGAACTTTATGATACATTATTTTTCAAAGCAAAATAATCTCATTTTTGATTGTCAATAAAAGCGCAATAATGTAATAGCCCCCAGAATTCGCCTACAGTACTAAATCGTATGTAGCGTGAATGGTCCTTAGAGATTTGAACCTGCTACTTTTACAATTACAAGCATTTGGCGTAAGAGTAAAGTCCCGCAGTGGACTCATCGCTAAGACACGGTTCCCAGCAGATTACCGAAATCAAGCATCACTGGCTGCTGTCAGTGTGCGGGTGGGTGACCACTTGGATCAGTCTATGTAGGGACCGAGGGTGTGCGGTATTGGTCCTCGTTAAACTGTTCTACCGTAAAGTATTCGACTTCCCTTGCAGATCTTCGGGCTACCGAAGCGGGGGTGCCATCCCCTTTGCAGAAGATCAAAATTGTGTTGGCATGTCTTCGGATTATCCTCAGGGATGTTTCCTAGATCATCGCTAATAGCCCATTGTGCAGCTCTAGTGCGACGTAAATGTACTGGGGTCTCTATCTTTTAAGGAATTGGTAACTAATTTTAAACCATAGTTTCTACTACAGAATGGCAACAAGGAAATGATAACGTCGGATCAATGGGCTTTTCGCATTGTGATTGGCTGTTGACTATCACTCATGGTTGCAAGAATTTGGGAAGTTATCGCGTTTATTGTGAATTAAAATAAAAATTTCAATAATTTTGTGCACGCCTGTCTGTGTTCTCGCGTAATCTCGTACTTGGTGTNAATAAAAAAAAATAAATAAATAAATAAAATTTTAAAATAATTTTTTTTTAATGATTTCCTTGTTTTATAGAACTTTATGATACATTATTTTTCAAAGCAAAATAATCTCATTTTTGTTGTTGTTGTTGTTCTTCATTTACGTCGCACTAGAGCTGCACAATGGGCTATTGGCGACGGTCTGGGAAACATCCCTGAGGATGATCCGAAGACATGCCATCACAATTTTGATCCTCTGCGGAGGGGATGGCACCCCCGCTTCGGTAGCCCGACGACCTGCACGTGAAGTCGAGCACTTTACGGTAGAACAGTTTAACGAGGGCCAATACCGCACACCCTCGGTCCCTACGCAGGCTGATCCAAGTGGTCACCCACCCGCACACTGACCGCAGCCAGTGATGCTTGACTTCGGTAATCTGCTGGGAACCGTGTCTTAACGATCAGTCCACTGATTGTCAATAAAAGCGCAATAATGTAATAGCCCCCAGAATTCGCCTACATTACTAAATCGTATATAGCGTGAATGGTCCTTAGAGATTTGAACTTGCTACTTTTACAATTACAAGCATTTGGCGTAAGAGTAAAGTCCCGCAGTGGACTCATCGCTAAGACACGGTTCCCAGCAGATTACCGAAATCAAGCATCACTGGCTGCTGTCAGTGTGCGGGTGGGTGACCTCTTGGATCAGTGTACGTAGGGACCGAGGGTGTGCGGTATTGGTCCTCGTTAAACTTTTCTACCGTAAAGTATTCGACTTCTCTTACAGGTCTTCGGGCTACCGAAGCGGGGGTGCCATCCCCTCTGCAGAAGATCAAAATTGTGTTGGCATGTCTTCGGATTATCCTCAGAGATGTTTCCTAGATCATCGCTAATAGCCCATTGTGCAGCTCTAGTGCGACGTAAATAAACTGCAACAGCAACAAACTGAAGGGTAAAATCCTTTGGCTACGGAAGCCCCAACGCATTTGAAAGGTAAAAAACCAAGTTTATAAACAATCAGTAAAAACTTGGCAACAACTAACGGAAGAATATTTTTTTCAAAATTCGGGATATTCGGATTCAACGTTTAAACCTGAAAAAGATTATAAAGTTGAAATATTATCTATGTTATTGGAAAGGATCTTGACTTAAACTTTTAAACCCCGTTGAAAGGTATAAGCTGCTAGAGTTTATTTCGACAACTAGCTTCAGTAGCCATAATGTGCTGAAAAATAACAACATTTTATTCGCAATTCTTTTTAGTGGCGTGTTTTACATTTTTGATGCTTTCATTAAGTAATTAATATTAAGCTTCTGTAATCATTGAAATTTTAGAATATCATTTCTATTCGAATTGAATGTTTTGGATTTTTAAATTGGTTTTTAGTTGATAGTTTTGTAATTTTATGTCTTCGGAATTTTTTAAAATATGGTATGCGGGATTACATTATCATTTGTTCATTTTAATGAAGAAAGAATTTTATTTCTTTTTATATTCATATTCTTTTTCTTTCTGTAGAATTTCTTAAGTGAGTGTAACTAAATTAGCCGGTCGTCGATCAACTTGCTTCGATATCAATTGAAGGACTAATAATAAACTTATTATATCTTATGAGGATTGCTAAGAATAATTTTTTATTGGCTATAATAAAGATAATTAAACAAATTCTGCCTAGACGATATATCTCATTCATTTAATCATTTTTATCGTTTGTAATGTTGTGACAATTTACCTTTTGTTTCGAAGTACTTTAAAAGGCATACTTGATGCTTTTCTTTAGTCTTTATTTATAATTTAAATAAATATGAATTAATTTTATTGCATATAAACTGTTCTCTTTTACCATAATCTAGTAGAAATTTTGTATACATTAAAAACAATGTCCTTCTGGATTCGCAGTCCTTGTGTGCAATTTTTTTGATGACTTGATCTTTTTAAACACTATTGTGTTTTAGAGAATAAATTTAAATTTAAAAAAATTCACCAAATAGGACCAACTTAAAGCTTTTATTTTTTAAAAATACTTGCAAGTTGGCAATAATTAGTATTTTGACTCCTTGAACGCCAAATACAAATTTGTAAAAATATTCATTTTGCACCTTTTGGTACAACAGATCACATTATGGAAATATCCCCTTCTTAACCAATAATACCTGATTTGTTTAAAATATTTCTTTGCCAAGTGACATTTCTATATTTTATAGACATAAAGAAAATAAGAAAAAATTCTTGTTTGCCTTTATGGAGCTTATTTTTAAATGAATGAAAAAAATTAACTATTCTATGAAGAACACGTTTATTTCATTATATATTGCAATGAAATAGTTCTAAATTTTAATGTTTCTCACTGATATTTGTATCTATTTTACTCTGAATCACCTCATACTTCTGCCTTTTATTATCCTTAATCTCTCTTTAAATGAAAAGTTTTTGTTTAAACCCTTATTTTACTAGTAACTGCTATAGCTCGTTATTTAAAGTTTAACATTAAAACAATCTTAGACATTTTTGCTAAACTTAATTACATTAAATTATTAAATTGTAACTATGTAATGTTTCAGTTATCTTAAATCTTTTTGTTTCCTTTCAGTCAGTAAATAGTCCTAAGCTTTTACCGGTTGGGCCACCTGGTGGAAGACCTTTAATAATGCCTCCTCCACCACCATTTGGTGTAAGTAATTGATCAAATTATAAAATATTATGCTAATACTATACCATTGAGTTTATGAATTGCATATTAAAGATTTAAAATAAATGTAAGTTGCACAATGTTATGTTTGTGTTTTTTATTCTATAATCTAAACCTAATGTCTTGGCACTGAAGGCATCTGAAAATCAACTTTTTTAAATCTGACTGTAATTTTCTTATAAGTTTTCATCTTCACATTTAAATAGTGATAATTATTAGTGAGTGGATATAAAATTTCTTTTAAATCTGTCTGGATCATTAAAAAAAAAAAAAAAAACATCACACTTTTAGTTTAGAGATATTTTTTTTGTTCATAGCAATTTAAAAAAAAAAGAAGACAATTTTAGGGAAGGATGGTACTTTTAGATTTTGTATATTTCAGCCCTTTATCTATAGTTGCGAAGATTTTAAACTAGCTGTATAATATGACATAACTTCCAGACTTTAAACTGAATAATCAAATATGCATTGTAAATTTAAGATACAGGTTTTGATTAAGTAAAATTTGTAGATATTTATAATTGCATTCATTATGTTTGTGTTTATTAAAATTTTTCCTTTTGCAATTATATGTACAGTAGGGAACCGATTATCCGGAACTGTCGGAACCATCGCTATTCCGGATAACTGATTTTTCCGGTTTTTTGAATCGCTACAAAAAGCAGTTTTTTTATTGTTAAACCTAACTAAAAAAAAAAATTTGGAAATAATCTTAAAAGTAAGAAAAAATGATTAAGTAATACACTAATGATTATTTCCAAAATGATGGTAAGGTAAACATCTTTAAAAAAGGAAAGAAAATTCGTAAAATCTTATGAGGAAAAATTTTTTTTTTTAAAATTGCGAGAAAATTTATCGAATTTTGTTCCGGTTTTTTGGTTTTTACCGATTTCCGGATAACTGGTTCTGTACTGTATTAGTGTTCATGTGTATTTTAAAATTTTTTTACAATATTAGGGAAATTTTACTAGTAAATTTTTTGGGGGCAGGGGAATTATTTAGCAGAAGAGCACCAATGACTTTGAAAAGATTTATGAAAATATTGTTTACAATTAATTTATTTCCATTTTTTTTATAAAAGTAATGTTATTACTTAAATTTTACCTATGTATCATTGAAAAAACTTTATTTGTTGATTTTGTCTTTTTTTAGAAATTTCAAATTCCTCTCAATCACACCGTCCATTTCCGCTTTGAATATATATCTAATTCCATAATATATATATATATATATATATAATTGAATATTTTCCGTTTTGAATATATATCTGTAGTAGTATATATTAAATGGGCATGTAGTTAAGTTTTATTTTAAATATTCCTTTTTATAAATATGCCATTTAAAATGCATAGTACATTATATTAAATCGGCTTATACTTTTGCAGCTGACACCTCCACCCATGCCTCCGAATTTTATGGGAGCACCTATGCGACCAGGAGCTGAAGGCATGCGACCACCTATGATGATGCCCCCAGCTGGTACTCCTGGAATGCCTGTCCCTGGCCCATTTCCTGCTCCAGGTATGCCTGCACCTGGATTTCCAATGCCTGCTTTTCGGGGTATGGCACCAGTTCCAGCAATGGCACCTCCAGGTAAATGCTTTAGAAATGAATTATTTCTTTTATGATTTATGTGTATTACAACATTTATTTTTTGGTGTTTAAACAATTATCTAATATTTAAAGTTTAATTCCCTGTTCAAAATTTATTTTTCCTAGTATTCTTTATTTTTTTCTGATCATTTTATTATGCATATAATTTGTGTAAGATAAAATACAAATTAAAGATTACTTTTTTTAATTCAAAATCACAAATTAATTTGAAAACAATTTTAAATAACCTAAATTAAAAGACAGCAAACTCTATAATTAAAGTATTTGAAAAAAAATTGTACTACAGTGCAACCTTGAAAATCCGCATTGCTCGAGTGTTCAGAATGTTCGGATTTCCAAAATTTCCGGATTTTAAATACCTTACTTAAATTGATAGAATTATCGAAGTTTCGAATTCACTTGGCCGATTTCACGATTAGACTCACTCTGGTCTCAATTTTAATGACTTAACATAAATATACGCTTTAAACAATAAATAAGAGGCATTAAAAATGAAACAGAGCTTTAGCAACCTTTAAAAACACTTTCCATATTTCATCCAATGAAACTGATCTTTCTTCATTTGGAGTTTCCATTTCTGTAGCACTGTCGTTTTCTTTAAGCCCATTACTTAAAATGGCCACTTTTATTTCGTCATCAGTCACGTGATTGATAAGGGATAATTCATTGTTAGAACTCATTGCCTCCTTAACGTTATCTTCATAAATTTTTAATAGACACTTTTTGGCGTGTTCAAGAAGTTCATTTATTTCAAGTATTATAAATTTTAAAGATTTAAAACCTTCAAAATTGTTTTCACTTTGATTTTCAAGCAGAATATTTCGTTTTCAATTGTAGAAGGCTGCAAATTCTGCCAATCATGTAGGAGGAGAAGAAATCCTCCTGCATTCCTAATGTATACAGTGCTGATAAGAATGACTGGAATTTCCTTATCCGCTATGTGCTTTCATTCACTCCCCACCCCTATCTCTTCATCCACTACTTCATTGTTGGAGAAGAGTTGCGATTTTGCGCTTTTACATTTAAATGTTTACTTTAAGCTTTTTTTTTTTTTTTAAATTGATTTGGAAAATTGTTTTTGGACAAACTGGATGTAAGTATCCGGATTTTAGAGAGTTCTGGAAGTAAGCAGGGCCGGATTTACGTATAAGCTAAATAAGCTGTAGCTTGGGGCTCCGATATGGCAAGGGCCCCCAGATCCAACTTCTTCCTTCTTTTTTTTAAAGTTTTATTCGGAGCTGGAGCCCTCTGAAGACTAAAATACATTTTTTTTTCTCTTTTACATTGGCGAACGCTTTTCAAAATCTAATAGAAGTGTTTACAAATATAAAATAATTGTTACTCTTCACTTTTCTAACCAAAAGAGCAATANTGGAAGTAAGGTTGTACTGTAAATTAAAATTTTCCTAATGTAGCCTTGAAATACAAAGACACACTTTTGCTTTCAGTGAACATAGGATAGTGAGTGCTAAGTCATCATTGTCAAAGTTAATTATTGAATCCCAACGATGGCAAAAATTTGATAAATAAAAAACTCCATCTCCTTAACAATTCTACCAAAAGTAGAAATCAGTTTCTCAATAATTCTGCCAAAAAAGTTAATTAATTGTTTGTATTTATACTTTAAGTACATTTAATATACTTGTTTTACTAAAGCAAGCAAAGATAAGCAACTCACCATTTATTCATTCTAAATGAGACTGAGAATGTACCTTTGACGCATTTTGATTGTGCATCTCAAAAGAAATTGCCCAAACTGTCAGATGAAAAAAATATATTGTCTTTGCTGCAAAACTTCAATCTAGCGTGTTTGAGTTAAAATATTTTAATTATATGAAAATTAACGGTTAACTGTTAAGTGTTTATTTCGGTTTTAGATCTAGTGTAAACACACCACATTATCGCATGGCACACACAATGAAGAAGACATACAATTAGTTCACTAAGCAATTTACAAAAATATATTTCGTAAAAAGTGTCAGACCAAATGACAAATTGGGTATGTTTTCGTTTTAAACGAATTTTAAAGCTGCAAATGACAATATCAAACATTCTAAAATGCAGTCGTCAAGTGGAAATATTGAAGGTAATGTGAACAGAAAGAAAGCATCTAATTTAGACTTATTTCACCCCATGTAATTTATACTGCAATTTATAATATAGTGTCTTGTGTTAGGAATGAAATCTACATTTTGAAAATATTAGTTCATTAAAATGAACTTGAAATATTATTTTCTTGTCATGTTTTATTGAGTATTTAAATTATTTGTAGCATTAAAAATAAGTTATTTTAATAATGCTTTTTTTTCAACATATTCTATAAAAAATGTCGTTTAATAAATTTTTTCTCAGGAATTAAAATGTTTTATAAATTTTTCTTTAAAATGGGGTTTAAGTTTTAAAATCTGTTTTGATACCCAAATATACTTTCTTTCAAATTTAACTTAAAGATAGTTTACAGAGAGAACTAATACTCCTAGATCATGGAAAAGAAGTATCGAAACCAAGTTTCCACACTTTGAGTATATTCATGTGATATAAAATTTAAAAAAAAAAAATTAAAGAGCCAAAATACGAATACAAAGAAAGTTATTTTCTACCTAAATAACTATGCATCTTTTTTTTGAACAATATATTAAAGAACTAAAACAGGTTTTAATTTCAAATTCAACAAAATTACACGATAACATTAATATTTTGTGAGAAAGTCAGAATATTTGTAACTTGTTTATTTATTTTTGCTATTCAGCAAAAGAAAAATGTTTTGTACGAATTCAAATTTGAAGCTGAAATTGCTTTCAAAAGCAACTTCAGCTATCAATTCAGCTATATAGAACATCACCTCAATTAATATGCTAGAGTGTGTTGCTTTCAATTAAAGTAAGTAGTGAAATTTTGAGGTTCGTTTGAATTCAAAATATCATCCTGAAGCAATTTTAACTAGTTCCCTGCCATATTTATGCTATTATTTCTTTTAGCTCTAGTTGATTTGATTAGAATTAGTAAAATGTGACAATAAATTTTGTTGATCAGAAATTATCTTATTTGTACTAGGTACTACTGTACCAACTCCCTCACCAGCTGTTATTTCAGCTCCACCTACTACTACTTCAAGTGGATCTTCTTCACCTGTTATAAATGGTAGCACAAAAGAAATTCAGGTGAGTGTATTGTGCTGTTAATTAAAATTTCTTAAATGAAATAAATATTTTGATTCTTTAAGAGTTAATTATTTTAATTCTAATTGACAGTTTGTTTTGCTGATTTTGAGAAATTTAATGCAGCATATTTCTGCATATAACTTTGCTTTTTTTATGCTTAATTCCATCATTTGCCTGTGTTCAGTTTTCTTTGTATTCTACTTTTATTAACATCTTTCTGAATAAAAACTTTTCAGAATATTTATTGAAATTTTAGAGAAATAATTTTAATGCTTTCAAAAAAGTTTTTCTTTTTAAGAATTGTTCAGCATTTATTTACTTAACATGCTTCTGCGCTGTTGAAAAAATTGTCGACATCTAAGAAGTTTTAAAAAATGGCTCATGATCATATTCTATATGGTATATGTATTCTAGAGGTTTATTTCCTACTACATACATAATTATTTGTCGAATATTTGTTAATAATAAATTCATAGTCTTGTCAAATAAGTGATGTCAGTTTTGCAGATAATGAGGTTATGCTATAAACTGTCTTCTGTTTTCTTATGCTTAGTCAAACATATGTCTAATTCAATTCTGGCAAATATTTGTAACAGCTAAGCTTATTTTTGTGTGAAGCAGCATATTGTAGTTGTGAAGAACTTAAATGTTTATTTTCACAAAGAAATTGCTTGCATGTTATTCTAAAATTTGATTTAATCAATTTAATAATTTTTAATTAATTTAATAATGTTCATTATAAGGGGTATTTAATCAAATTAACTGTTTTCAATTGCAGAATATAAATTTTACACCTGCAGATATTTTTTAATTTCTTTAAAATTTTTTTTAATTTCTTTAAAATATTTTAATTTCTTTAAAAAAATGTCCTCAGTTTAGATAATATCAATTCCTGGATTGCTCCATTGCTGTTTTTTCCCTTTAGGCTGACAATTTTCTATTGACATCCTAGAAGTTTTCTGCACCCATTTACTAAATGTTTATTCATATTTTGTAAATAGATGCATTTCTATATACATTCTAAGTATATGTTTTAATGTTTTTAAACATTTGAAACATTATTTTAAAATGGAAATCATTTCATCTTGTGTTAAAATTAGTGCTATGTTTAATGGTAAAGCATAAATATTTAGATAGCAACATTGATCTCTATTGAATGTATATTTCTATTAATTCATCATTAGATTGACTATTTTTCAAATTTGTTTTCTGACAATAAACAATCTCAAAATGTTGGAAACTGTATCCTTTCATGTAATGATTGATTGGACTATTTAATTTTTTACACAATTGTTATTATCTTATTAGGTATATATTTTAATTTATTGAATTTTAATTATTTTAGGAATTTGTTAAAAATTAACCTGAACTTTCCATTTTATATTTTAAGAATAGTTTCTATTTGTTTTATTAATAGCTTAATGAAAAAGTAAATTCAAATGAAGAAAAAACATACTTTTAGCTATACCTGAATAAAGCAAATAGCAATGTGGTTATAATTGAAATAATAACACAAAAATGGATATACTAAGTTTTGGTTCTATAAGCAAGAACAGAACTTTACTCTGTGTTGTATTTTTATGTTACGACACTAAGGAAGGCTTTTGTGCCTAGAACCAAAATTATAGCAAGCTTTCTGTGTCTTTGTGTTTTATTCACCTTGTTTTGCTTTCATCAAAAAGTAGAATGTTTCTCTATAAAACATGGTATACTAAAATTTTGACTAAAAATTTCTTTTTAGATTAATAAGAAAAATTGTACTGAAAATAGATTTTTATTTTTAGAATGAAGTTTCTTCACCAGTTGCTAAGTCCTCATCTGATAAAGTAAGCCTTAATTCTTTTTACGTTAGACATGCCAATATCTATTTGTGTTTAGTCACTAATCACAAATTTAGTACCATATTTAAACTGCTGATTGCTGTTTCTTTTTACAAGATTACATTTTCTTTTTATATTTCTTTAGAATGTGTTGAACCATAATTACTTTATCAAAGGTGTAAAGGTTTTAAACATTCGATATTAATGTTTTATTCAGAACTTTCGTTAGGATTAGCAATAGGGCTGATGATAGAGAGAAAAAAATGTTATAAACTTGTCATGACAATTAACATAATCATTACAAAACGCTATGTAAATTTTATTTACAAAGATACTAATAGGATATTTAAGAGAAACCGACATTAAAAACTAAGCCTACTTTAAAAGACTTAATATATCATTAGATTATAATGAAATTTTCTTCAACATTTTGTGCTTATGTTGGCCTTTTAAAACAAATTCAAAATTAGTGTTGTCACCAACTTTTTGAATCACTAAATTGAAGATGTTTTATTAAAAGTGACCTCAACAGCAAATATAAGCTCAAGAATGGTTTTATATAATTAAAAGTTTTCTTAATATTTTTTTATTTATGCTGGAAGACTGGATGATATTAGGATATGTTGTACATGATGCTGTTTGTTCTAACAGAATGTCTATTGTTGACGAAAATCTCAATCAAAAATCTCTTTTATTCGTTCTGTTAATCACCATTTTTTAAAAAAAGACAGATTCCCATTCTGCAAAATCAGATTTGTAGAAAAATAATATCTTAAAAATTAGCTGATTTGTATATCCTCAAATTTGGAATTAAGGTCTCCAATATTTTCATGACTGGTAGATATCCTGTCCTATAATATATATATAAACAAATACATATATTTTACCTTCATGGCGTGCTGCTGGTCATGATTATTTGCATGAATATGATTTGTTTTATCATAATGCTGCATCCTATCCAAATCCTGTAATATAAATAAATAAATATATTTACCTTCATGTCTTGTTGCTGGTCATGATTATTTGTATGAACATGACTCAAACAAATATGCAGACATCTTTTTTTCAGAAAGACTATATATCTTCTAATTATATTTACTACTATAATTCCTTTGAATGGGAAAATTTTTCTTTTTTGCTTTAATTTTAAAGTGAAATTTTTTTAAACAATGACTATACTCTCTGCAACTATTTTTTTCAGAAAAGTAATTGGACTGAACACAAAGCACCGGATGGGAGAACATATTTTTATAATCACATAACAAAGCAGTCCAGTTGGGAAAAGCCTGATGAATTGAAATCTCAGTCTGAAGTAAATACAATTCATGTCTTAATATACAGTGTTTTCATGTCCATTTTCTTGTCTTAAACATGCATGTTCATATGTTGTAAATATTTCCTTTGATTTTATGTGTAACATGTAATTAGTAGAAAGACAATACTCTTCATTTTATGCTCAATAGGGAACTAAAAAAAATAATTTAAATTATGCATTGCTAAAGAGGCAGTTAATACAAAATTTAAGTTGTATTAAAATAAAATTTTTGATAAGAAATTAATCTTATAAAATAGGTCTAAAGTTTAGTTTTTAGAAATTTTTTTTTAAAATGTGTATTACCAAGTACAGTGTGTTATTTAGGATATATTTTACGAAGTAATGTCTTGTATTAAAATTTTGCAATAATTAAATTAATAAGAGTAACTTTGGTACTTATAGCAAGAGTTGAATGAACTACTTGATTATTTTTAAATTATAATGCTGTTAAATATACTCATTTTATAAAAAAGTGTGCCATCTCATTTGTGTTAGAATAATTATACCTGATAGTATATACCAGTACCATTTTAGCATTATTTTGCATTTATCTTAAAAACCATTATATAGTTGAAATGATTAACAAAAATTTCTTTACTTTTTAAACAGTCAATATAAGATAAATCAATCAGATAATAGATTCCTTGTGAGAAAGAAATGTGCTTTTTAACATGAGGTGACAACTCAAGGGAGACTCTTTAATTCTTGTGTCTATTTCTGAGCTCTTCTGAAACTCTACATATCTTCCTATTTTTAACTAGTTAAGAGAAAGAAATGTAAATTCTCTGTGAGGAGATTTTTGTTATACGGAAAAAAACATTTCGTTTAACTTTTCGTTTAAGAACTTTTCATTTAAGAATAATAATACTAAACCTATTTTATCATCCGTAACTTATGTTATGAATTTAACGCATTTTTAAAAAATTCCTTTATTATATACCAATTTTTACTGATTTTGCTTTTTTATGTACCATTTTTTTTTAAATAAATTTATCTTTACATTATAAAGTTTATCTGAAATGAAAAATTTCTTATGTAAGGCTGAACATTTTACTAAAACCTTAATTTTATTTCAATGAGAGTTATGTCTATTAAATATCTTGTCCATATAAAAATTCAAATTTCTTTTGAAAATTATTTATATTTTACATATATCATTTATGTCATGCAATTAATTTAAAAATCTTCTCAATTTGATTTTGAAATGATTAAATTTACTTTCCTTCAATTTTTTAAGATCAGATTTACTACAAAATGTAAATGGATTGATTCATTTTTATTACAATTCGTGAAACAGTTCCTGTAATAAATAGGCAATAAATTTTCTATTTTCAAAATTGGCAATTAAACACAGTTTAATAAAATTTTTTTCTCTTTAAAAAAGAAAAATTGTTTTATTTATATTGTTCAGTTATTCAATATGTAATTTTTTTCAGCTTTTATTGTCACGTTGTCCTTGGAAAGAATACAAATCTGAAACAGGCAGAACTTATTATCACAATATTCAAACCAAGGAATCTAAATGGACTATTCCAAAAGAACTAGAAACTTTGAAAAGTAAGCTTAGTAGCATCTCATTAAGTAATATTGTTTTAATGTTTTATATCAGGGGTTTCCAACTGGCGGCCTGGGGGCCACATCCAGCCCGCGAAGCCTTTTTTTGTGGCCCGCGAATTAAAATATATTATTTGTCATTTTTTTGCGGACGATTTTCGTAAAAAATCTATGTGGGTTTGAAATACTTTTTTCGTTAATAAAAACCTAATTTCTTCGTTTCTGTGGAATTTAACACACCAACGATGCAAAGAAATTTATTTCTCAGATTTTACACCCAAGAAAATTTTTATTCAAATACAAAAATAATCGTGTATGTTGCTCTTTTTTATTCCATTTTTTGTATTTTGGGAATATAATTTAGCATGTGCGTATTAGAAATTTTCTCGAAGAAATTCTCCGATTTAACTTTTTGAAACTACTCATTTTGGACGAAAATATTCACACACACATTTGTAAATTTTAAATGTTAANTCATTTTGGACGAAAATATTTGCACACACATTTGTAAATTTTAAATGTAAATATCTATTCTCTGGTGGTTGTAGCAGACAAATCTCAATTTTCTCATTGAATATTTTGTGTGCTACTATGTAAGTTTTAATAAAAACCTAAGTTATTGTAGCCCGAATTTTTATTATTTATTTAATATTTTTAAAAATATTATTAATAAGAATTAAATATTTCTAAAAATCTACTTCTTATTTTAATTTGTAATTCAATACTTTTGTTTTGTACGATTTGGTAAAAATCTGACAGTAATATTTAATGTTCCTTCAAACATAAAAAGAGTCCTACATAAAATTTTGACAAAGTTGCAGCCCGCCATTTGATTTGTGTATTTAATTGTGGCCCCCGGCCTCATGTAAGTTGGAAACCCCTGCTCTATATTTTGAATTTAATTTGAAAACTTTTCCAGGGTTTTAGTATTGGGCAAAATTAAATGGAGTTTTCCTGTTCTGAGCATTACTTTGAATAACATTAACATTGAATAACAGGGTAGAAACAAGTTGGGTTTTTTTTTTGTCACAGAAAAATATTATATCCAAATCTCTGTCAATAAACCTTTTCTTTCCAACATTTCCTGCTTTATAACTTTTTAATACCAGAAGATTACTATTAAAGAATTAATATTAAGGAATTAACTTATTAAACTTGAAGTTATAGGCACCTTCCATACCCCACAATTTATTTAACAGTAATCGCAGATCACACTTTGATTTGTTATAGTGATGCACACTTAGAAAACCATTACCTAGGAGACTAAAAATAGCAGTGCACAACCAGTTTAAGAGGATTACCATGCTAAACAATAGAATTAAGGGCTGTCACTATGTAAATCAGGATAAATAAAAGTAACTTAATTATTTTTATGATAAAAAAAATTTTATTAGAGAAAAACATAGCACCATTAGCACGTAAGTTTTTTTTCTTTTATAAGGTGAAGAAAATTGTGTAGATTTGTTTTTAAAATATGATTAAAAAAGTTATTTTTTTATGTTTCATACTTCTGATTGAAATTAGCATTTCTTTGTTATGTTTTTGAGTTTTATTGAAGCAGGTAAATTTTTTGAAATTTTCTTGTTGGTATTTTCAAGTTATTTGTAAGTTGAAATAGAAGGGAACACTGACATTAATAATTTTAATTTGGCTCCTGGATTGCTAGCTACTTTCTCTAAAATTTCAAGTATAGCTTATTTAAGATTTTTCTTAAAGTTTTGCATTTTTAAATGTTTTGCAATTTTGTTATAATTTTTTTTCCCGATTCATATTTAATTATATTTTGATTTTATTTCTAGTGATGGTTGCTTCTAAGGAAGATTCAGATGGGTATGTCATTTACTTGAATTTTTCTTTGGTTATGTGATTTTACTTGTCATACTAAATTTATAAATGCAATAAAAAGTAAAAAGGAGAAAAAAATGTTTATTAATTTTTTTAAGTTTCTGAAGTTATTTAAGCTTAAAATTTTCATAGGTTTCAATTATGAATAATTTATTTTAAGTATTTAGATGTTTCAATATGTTTCAATTATTACTATAATTATTAGAACTTTTATTTTTTTTTTGTTATTTAAATCTGTATTGGTGTATTCTATCTGTTTTAATTTAACCCCTTGCACTATTCTGAAATTCGAAACAAGCCATGCCTAACTTATTTACCCGACTACGTGCAAGATAGCCGTGCTGGTGTTTACTTCACACGATGCTACTCTTGTGAATTTTAAATGAATTTGAATCAAAAACTTTTAAAAAGTATTTGAATTATTACACATTATTACAACAAATTCTGTATAACTAATAATAATATGCTGAATTAATAGCAAAATGCTAATAATTTGAAGCGAATCTACAGGAGTAATATTTGAATTGAAATAAATTTTCAGATTATGTCATAATCACCAGGCGTAAAAATAAAAAATACAATGTAAATAAACAATAAGATGAAAGCCCATTCAGATCTCCTGGTTTAGCATAACATTAAGACCATGAGTATGGTTTGTGATATTCATGTTTGACCCGAAATATTAATTACGAACCAGACTCGTGATATTCACATTTGACATTAAATTAAACAACGAGCCTGACTTGTGATATTCAAGTTTAACCTAAAATTTTCGTCACGAGTATGACTCATGAAGATAGTGCAAGGGGTTAAAATTGCAAGAGCTGAAATATTATTTATAAGAAATATATAAGAAATAATTTATAAGAAATATATTTGGAAATAAAAGAAGTTTTTTACTATGAATTAATTTCATAATGTATTTATCTTGTATTACATAATCATACAAGAAAGGAAAAATTATTTGTTAATTTTTTTTTATACATTTTAATAGAGGGAAAAAGGGCATTTGAAATTTTAATTAACCATAAGAGAATATGTAACTTTTTCCCTTTGAATTTTTTTTTTGAACAATGCATTTGCTGGTTTCTGTTTCTAAAATGTAATATTTTTTTTTACTTGCAGTTAATTTCAATAGCTTTTAAAATTTGAAACTAAGCGACAACTGTCATATATAGTCTTTTATTTTTTTTTAACTTAATAAACTTAAGAAGATGTATAATTATTAAATTTAATAAAATTTTAANATGAATGGTTTTTTGAGCAAAATGAGAAAGGGGCGATATGTGTCAGCCAACTCCAAGAGGGGGGCGATGATCCACAAAAGGTTGGGAACCACTGATTTAGAGGAACCCAAATTAACTTTCTTTTTTCGCAATTTAATTACATCAAAGCAATGTTTCTTATCTTCAGAATTTAAATATTAAACAATATTTATAATTTTTTAATGTATATAATTTTAAAGTTACTAAACATAAATTTTAATGTCTGTATAAAGTAAAAAAAACGTTCTTAATTCTTATTTATGTGCAGAGAATAAAGTACATCTCCACACGGTAAAAAAAAAAAAAAAAAAAANAAAAAAAAAAAAAAAATTCAATTCCCCAATACATTATGGTGGAAATTTTTTTTATTGTATTTATTGCATACATATTAAAAATTTTACTGTGACATTTTAGCATATTGTAATAATTTTTCTGAAAAAATTGTAATATGTGTTTTCAAAATGTGTTTCGAGTTAACCATTCCGCTGTTGGTTTTCATTATTATTTTTCAACATTTTCCCTTTATATGAAAATTATAACTTAAATTGGAATCTAAAGTGATCTAATTGATTGAATGTGTTTAATATTTGCACCAGGGTTGGCAAGTTTTTGACATATGACGGTTTTTACCGGTTTATACCATGGTTTTTACCGTCATGTCAAAAACTGTCAAAAATCCATAGTTTTGGTGAAACTGTATTTTTATTTGAGTTTAACTGCTTAAAACTTAAAATTAATTCATTTTTGGGCAATAAAATTAGAAAAAAAGTTATTATAAGATATTTAAGAACAGATTCTTGCATTTTCCCAGCATGGTTATATCAGAACATACTATTTGAAGTAAAATATTAGGATACTAAACAAAATTTTCAACATTTCCAAGCATCATTTTGTTTGGCATATTACATTACTGAAGAATGTCAAGTCATTCTTGACTTAGAGTTTGTTAGTTTTGAAAGTTTTGTTTAGCTTATTTCTAACATTTAAGAAATGCCAAATTTTAAATTCTTCTTTTCAGTTCTTGAATTTATTAATAGTTCCAAGCTTTTTTGTTTGTCTGTTTATTTCTAACAATTAAGATGTGCAAAATTTTGAATCCTTTGCAAATCAAGCTATAATGATAAAAGTAAGTATCACTATTTTCAATAAGTATATTACAATATTTCTATATGAATGTACATCCTTCAATAAGAATACATGTATTTAGTTGCAAAATCAATAGCAATCATTTACAACATTCATTTATGAAGGCAATTATGTGAAAATAATATATTGTCCGCTATATGCCACAAATTAAAGAAATCAGTAGGTTTTTTTACAGTTTTTACCGGTAAAAACACTGTTTTTACCACTGTCATGTCAAAAACCAGTTTTTGCCGGCAAAAACCCAACCCTGATTTGCACATTAAACTACTTTTTGGTGATAGAAGGAAATATTGCTGGATCTCATTTTTATGATCTTTTATAGTTTAATTGATATTTTTATTTTGTTTTAGTTCTAAAAGTGGAAGTGCTGTAAGTGCACCAACATCTGCTACAGCATCACCCTCAAAAATTGGTTCTCCAGCTGTTGCTTCTCCACTTTCAGATGGCAGTCAAAACTTTGCTAATATCCAGTTGCCTTCAACAGGTGGACCTGCAGGGCAAAATGATGCAGTTGGTACTCCATCAGATCAAGGAGATGCTGACGATAAGTATGTTTAATTTTCTTTTTTATATTTAGTTTTAGTAAATTTGAATTAATAGCTAATTAAGATTTTAATTTGATATCTTCTCACTCTAATGATATCTTAATCAGATTTGATTTAATCTTAAGAGGACACCATACCACAAGAGAAACTTTTCAGCACAAATTCTCTTTTACCTTCATAAGTAACGTATAAGAAAAGTGAATTCAGGCAATTCTTAAGTAAGCCATGAAGTTTTAAATATTGAAAAAAAATTTAATTATCAAAATAAAAACATAAGATGATAACTTAAGATTGCGCAATGGGGAAATTTACTTTCAATAATTTATCTACATTTTGATATTTATTTTTCAGTAACTTAATGGCTTACTACTCTAGATTTGCCTACTAACTTTTTCTATTCTTAAAATTTTAAATTAGTTAAGGAGATGAAACAGAATCTCTGACGAAAAGTTTCACCTGTAGTATAGCGTCCTTTTAAGGTAAAATTTTATAAGATCTAATTCAGTACACTTGTGCTTAGAGAAATAGTGATCAATATTCCAGTAATATTATCCTGATTGTAACTCCTGAATGACTGAAAATAATGCTAGAAGTAAATTAAATTTGTATTGTGATAAAGGAATGTCTTAAACAAGAGTAGGGAAACACTTGTATTAATTAAATACTCTGGAATCAGATTAATCCCTTAGGGAATATTTGTATCAATATTGTTTTGACCATTTTGATTGAAAATCTTTTTTTTCGTTTAAGCTAATTTTATGATTGATTCAGAAAAATCTTTCTTTTAGGGATGATGCCAATGAAGAGGAAACTGACCCATCAAAACCACTTGTTTTCAAAGACAAGAAAGAAGCAATTGAAGCATTTAAAGACTTGTTAAGAGAAAAAGTAAGGATTTGTTGCAGAATATAAATTAAATTACTTTCTAACATTTTTTATGTAGTTGAAATCTCAAAAATAAACTTTAAGTGAAGTGTTTAAATAGTATTAATTTTTGATTTTATATAATTTTTTGTTATTTATTTTTTAAATAATGTATAGCTGTTTTTTTCTCTTCTCATATTTTTTTAATTTCTTTTTCTTTTTTTAAAAAAAAACCCAAAAGGGATATAATTTTACTTTTTAAGTAAAATGTTTCAGCCTGAATTATTTAAATATTATGATTTTATTTCCAAAGAATAATTTTTTATTTATTTTTCTAGAGTGTTCCAAGCAATTCATCCTGGGAGCAAGCTTTAAAATTAATCGTCAATGATCCACGTTATGGTACTCTAAAAAAATTAAATGAGAAAAAACAAGCCTTCAATGCTTATAAGACTCAAAGGGGCAAGGAAGAAAAAGTGAGTAAATAATAAAGGACTGCATATAAAGTTTTTATTAAAGAAACTATCGTATTATTACATTTTTATACTTTTATGATAAAATGTTCTTTTATATTTTTGTCAAATGTTTTTGCTGAAATCATTTAATGAAATTCATATTTGATTAGTTACTGTTAACATTTATTTAATTTGCTATAATATTTTTTAAAGGAAGAACAGCGACTTAGAGCTAAAAAAGCCAAAGAAGAGCTGGAAGTATTTTTACAAAACTGTGATAAAATGCATTCCTCAATTCGTTACAAGTAAGTTAAAAAAATTTTTTTTCATTGTTTAGGATATTATTTTTAGAAAAACTAATTACTCAGAAACTGTTTTTCTTTTTGTAGTAGTTTTTTTTAAATGTTTTTAGATACAAATTTGGCATATAAGATGATTATTGCATTGTATAATGTACTTTTAGTGCAAAGTTATTTTTGTCTAATTTTTAATATTAACTTTTTCTTATTCTAAATTTCTTAGTTCTTTGAAGGGATAAAATCAACTCTAAGTGAAAATAATGTATTTACATAGTTTTAAAAATTAGTACTGCTATTTAGTTCAGTACATTTTATGGTGGTAAGTGCTAATATTTTACACAAATTTTTTTAATACAAATTTTACCTTTATGAATAAGACAATTTTGAATATTTTCTTAAATACTGAAATATTTGTTTCAACTTGACATTGATGTTTAATTTTTTGCACATGAAGCTTATGCAGTGCGAGAAATATGTTTATTGAGGAGTATTTTTGTCAGATTTTGTTATATTAGTTCAGGCAAATTTAGTTAAATTGAAAAGGTTAACATTTTACAATTAACCTCCTTCCAAATTACTCTTAATCATCAAGAAAATTTCATAAAATGTCTTTAAAGTTCAAAAACCTAAAAAATGGAGAAATTTAAAATAAATTCAAAAAAAATTTTCTTCTGAAGATGTTACTTTAATTTGAGTATTTTAAAATTCAGATTTTGAATTATTCTGCTAATTTTTTAGAAAAGCTTTGGAAATTTTTGGGGACTTAGAAGTATGGAAAGCTGTTCCTGATCGAGAAAGAAAAGAATTATATGAAGATGTTGTGTTTTTTGTTGCCAAAAGAGAAAAGGTAATAAATTTAGTTTTTTGGTTTTTAAGTCAAATTGATGAAATTTGTCTTTATAAGTTTGAAATTTTATGTATGCTTTAGGGAGATTATCTAGGTATAATTTTTTTTCCATTTTAAGATAATAATGTCTTTCTTCAGAAGGAATTGAATCTTTCAAAAAGTACAGAAAAAAATTTCATTTGTTTTACTGAAATTTCCTGAATTATTCTTATGCGCTATTTTCATGTATTTTTATAGATTTTATAATATACTTTTCTGTTTATGTATTTAACTTGTGAGTATCATCTATCAAATCTTTATTTTAATGTATCACATAAGTTAGGAGATTACATTTAATGCATGAGGTTCATGTTTTTTCTTTTCTTATTTCATTAATTTTGTGTAGATATTTCTGTGCTAATATAAGTTTTTTTTAATTTTTTATTTTTGAACCTGGCATTTTATTTTAAATTATTTGTGGTATTCATATATTTATATATACTAAAGTCAAACTTATAAAATGAACTTGATCAAAATAACCATGAAATAGTTGCTAAAATATTTTACTATTCTAACTGTAATCTTTATAGAAATTAAATTTAGTGTTAGTGAGGAAAAAAAACTTAATAATCTACTTTTGGCTTTCAAAATATTGCAATAAAATTCACGTATAATAAAGTTGTTATATTTTTAAAAACCTTTAAAGCTTGATATTTTGTCAACAATTTCAATTTAATGGGGAAAAAATCTAATTTAAATAAAAGAAAAGAAATCATATTTTTTACACCAATTTTAAATACAAAAGTTTATTTAATATTCCTAATGAATAATTTATGTTTATTTGTTTATGTTGTTTCAGGAAGAGGCTAAAGCTTTGAGAAAAAGAAACATGAAAGTTCTAAGTAGTGTTTTAGATTCAATGACCAGTGTCACTTACAGAACAACCTGGGCAGAAGCTCAACAATTGCTCCTAGATAATCCTCAATTTTCTGAAGATCCAGAATTATTAAGTACATGTTTATTCTACCTCTACTCTATTTAAACTGTTTTTTTTCCCTTAATGATTTCATTCTACATGCTTCCCATAATCTACTACCAATATTTTTAATTAAACCAGTAAAAATTAAAAAGAAAAAAGCTGTAAAAATATGTAGTCTAAGAAAATTTCTTTTTTTGAATATATTCATTAAAAAAATAATATAATAGAGAAATAATATAATTTGTTGCCAACTGATTCTATACATGAAATTTTTTTTTTGGAATAGTATTCTAATTTTTATATCTTTAATTTTTTTTACTTTTTTTATTGCAAATAGTATAAAGCAAAATAAATTGTGCAAGTTTTAACATACTTAAAAAAAATGCATGGAATCTTGTTTTATATTAATGTTATAATTTTTTATTTAATGCATTAAACAGTGGCTTTAAATATTTTTACTGAGCAATTTTTTTCATTAAATTTTATTGAGTTGAATTGATTTTATTGCAGATATGGATAAAGACGATGCACTTATTGTGTTTGAAGAACATATAAGACAATTAGAACAAGAAGAGGAAGAGGAGAAAGAAAGAGAAAAGAAGAGAATACAAAGGCAACAGCGTAAAAATCGTGAAGCATTTGTGGTAAAATATTTTGAAATATTTAATGCTATAAGTAGCATGGATTTTTCTTAAGTTTTTCTGATTGAAAATTTTGTTTCAGCGTCTTTTAAATCAATTGCATGAAGCTGGAAAGTTGACATCTATGTCTTTGTGGGTGGAATTATATCCTACTATCAGTGCTGATATTCGTTTCAGCAATATGCTAAATCAACCTGGTAATTTATTATTTATTGCTGAGGATTATTTGTCAAGATGTTTTTTTTTTGTGGAAAGAAGTTGAAATGTATATTGAGTAATTATTTTTCAGGATCAACTCCCCTTGATCTTTTTAAATTTTATGTCGAAGAGTTGAAGGCCCGTTTCCATGATGAAAAGAAAATAATTAAAGAGCTTTTGAAAGTAAGTTTTATTGTCTATTTCTGTATTATTTTCATTACATTAATATGTAATGAAAATATGGATGATGAAAATATGGATTTATGATTTGAGGTTGAACTAATAAAATGGTTATACATAGCTGCCAACTCTACTGGATTTTCCGGGAGACTACTGGATTTCGCTCGAATCTCCCGGTTTCCCGGATTAATTTCTCCCGATTTTTTAACATTTATCAAAATATCCCTATGTTTAAGGAATATTTTTTTAAAAATCCCTATAACAGGAAAAATAGTATTCCATCGGATCTGAAACAGGCTGATTGAATCCAATATTTTTAAATTGCTTTCGTTCATTAAATTTATATTTAAAAACAATACAATAATCTCAAAATATGCAACTATTCATTACAAAATATTTGCAACACCAAAGTTGATCCAGTTAAACGTAAACTCTAAATGATGACGTTTAAACGGTTCCGCCTACCTTTTTTCTAAGTGGTTGGCCTTTTTTCTTCTTTTGGGTTTGAGATTTTGAAGGTAAAGTTATGTTTTGAAATCTGGCAATGCTAAGAGTTGTTTTGTTTGCGATCGCAGGCGGTAGAAAAGTCTACTCGTGAATTAGTCGGTTATATCATTATAGATGACTTTAAGAAGAAATAAAAAATACTATCAGTCTTATAAAGACTGTTTACTTTGTTTTATGATAACATTAGATCATATTATGTGAAAGTATGTGATTATATGGTTAATAAATTACCTTTCAACTTTTTCTAATGATTTCTTGAAAAAAGCTAAATCTGCAACTTGCATTTAAAACAATCCATCTACATAGTAAAATTTTTACATCTATTATGTAGTGGTTTAATCAAGAATTTTGTATTGAATTATTTCATTAAATGAAAGTTTTATTTGTTCCATTTTCCAACTATATGATTTTAGTTTTAATAATTTTTAAAGAATAAATATTTATTTAACTGTATGCAAGTAACTGTAATTCAAAATTTTAATTGCCTTTTTTGGTGTTTTGATTGTCTTGTTTTATACATTTTTAAAAACTCCCTACAATTCCCTACATATAAGGTATGGAAATCGTGCGATTTTTCTCCTATATGATTTCTGGAATCTACTGGATTTTTTCTCTTCCATGTTGACAGCTATGGTTATAGTATGGTAAAAGAAAAATAGAGTTACATTCTAGGCAAAGTGAATCATTATTTTCTCTACTTAGAACCAATCTTTCAGTGCAATATTTTTTTTTGTGAAATAGCTGCCACTCTTTTGGGTATTTAACTTAGAGTTATATTGTTTGCTGTGCAAAATCTATGGGACATAAAACTTTAAATTACGAGGGTATGTAGAAAAATGTACAGAAAGTATAATGAAATAAAAAATTAGCATTCGATAATTAGTTAGAGAATTATTTGCTATTAAATTTGTTGTGAAAGTTACCTTAAACTCTGTTTCACAAGCTGCTGAAATGAAACTTCAGAGTGGAAATTTGATGTGCTGAAAGGGCCATATGTGTTTATAAGCTTAACACAGTTTTTTTTTCTTCCAATTTCCAACAAAAGTGGAAGAAATTTAAAGTGGTTTTTCTTGATTTTTTTCAGCATTTTTGTTTTAAATATTGAGTATTTATCCATTAATGTAGAAAATTTATTTTTCCTTCACAAAATTTTGATTTAATTTATTTTTGAAGCTCGTGCCTGAGTAAATGTTAATAAAAAAAAGGTTACCAAGAAAGAAAAGAAGAGAGATTACTTGTTGCCTGACGTAAATCTTAACATTTATGAAATTTTTAAAAATAAAAAAACTTAATAAAAAGCTAAAAACTTTCTATTTGAATTGTAAGTTTCGTGAAGAAGAAAAATTACTATTAATTTATTTATTTACTTTATTTTTTGAGTCGCACGTTCATATTTTTCTTTAATTTCTTTATTTTTAAATTTGGATGATAGTGTTTTCCAAGCCAGGTAATCGTCTATTTTGTTATTATGGACATATTAACAAAATGTTCTTATATTAAGCTACACTCATTGTACATTTGGAAAACAAAATATTCTGTGTTTTTGTGGAAAATATTGGTGTTTAAGGGAAAAAAATGATGGATGTGAAACAATTGTGGGATGTTGGTGAGCAGAGGAAGCAGGGTGCAAGGTCTCCTAGTTTTCAAAAGAAAGGTTCAAAATGAATCAGCAACAAACTTTTACTTCCTACTTAAAGTGGTTTAAATTTTTAACGTACATCTTTCTCATGGCTTAAAGGGTTAAATTATATAACTGATTTTTAGCTCTTGTGGTAAATAAAAAAAAGGGAAGAAATCAATAATATCTGTGAACATGAAGTACTAGAAATATTTCTATTTGTTTTAATTTCTATTTAGTGTAAATATCAAATTAGTGTTTTTACTTATAAATTTAGTTTTTGTGATTGTAGAGCAGTTCTCAGCAACCAATTTTCATTAAGTATCAACAAAATACTATCACAAATAGTTAGGCTGTAATTGAAGCTATTTTATTCCATAAATGTAATAATATATATAAGATTTTCATAATAACATCAACCAGAAAAAAAATATCTGTACATTAAATTGACGTAGGTAAGGGAGTTAAGAACTGTACACAGGGATAAGTGTTCAAACATTTTAAACTGGTTTTAGAAAAGATACATTTGATTTATTGTCAGAAGAGTGTATTAAATATGCAAAACCTATTATGAAAATATTCAAAATATTTCTATTTTGAAATGTTTCAATTTCACTCTTCACTTATTGCATAGAAAAAATATATTTGCTTGATTTTAATTGAATAGGAAATGAAGCATAAGTTTCTTATATAAAATTATATGTTAAATTTAATACAACAATTATTCCATTTTAATATATTTATGAATTATAATTTTACATTAATAAATTATAATGAACTTGTGTTTTTCTGGAATTCTACGAAATGGAATATGTTTAAGTTTGTGTTAAGTAATGGGGAAAGAAAATTCTTGTTTGAAATAGTATGATTGTTTATTCTTTCTAATTTAAAGATTGAAAAATCAGTTTTTTTTTATTTTTTATTACTCTGACAAGTTAGTACTGATTTTTTTTCTTTAATAACAATACAAATTCCATAGTGATAAAAATATTGTCATAAAATTCCATGTCTGACACTTAGTAATAAGTACAAATGTTACAGAGTGTCCTTTTTTTCTCCCTTCTTTTTTTTTTTTTTACAGTTTACAGTAAGCATTTTCCGAATTAAATTAAATATACATCCTTTATTGGAATTCAATTACAAAAATATTCATTTTTGTAGGAGAAAGGCTTTAGTGTTGAAGTTAATACTACTTTCGATGAATTTGCTACAGTTGTTAGTGAAGACAAACGATCAGCAACACTAGATGCAGGCAATGTAAAGCTTACCTACAATAGTGTAAGTACAATATAGTTATGTTCCTGTAATAAATGTATTTATTCTTAAATTTTCATTGCAATATTTTTATAATTTTAGCTTTTAGAAAAGGCTGAAGCTCGAGAAAAAGAGAGACAGAAAGAAGAGGCCAGAAAGGTAAAGTAGAAAGTTTTGTGTTTAATTTGGTTGTTTTGCTTCTAAGTTCTTAGAAGTACAAACTAGCTAACTCCAACTAAATATTTATATTTTCTTCATAAAACAAAATAAAAATTGCATCTAATATTATTAGTTTTGATTATGGTTTCCTGGCTTTTAAAGTGATTTTTTTCACTATTTTATTAATTATTTTAATTTCTTAATCTTGCAACATTTTATGTTTTTATCCTATGTCCAAACCGAAGAATGTATATAGTTGAAGAAGTCTAGCTTTCATTGACAAAACGTAAACCTGTTCCCCAAGGTTAGGTGCGGTCCCTGTGTATAAAGGACTTTTGAAAGGAAGTTGAAGAGCTTAACTTCTCCTTTATATATTCTTTGCACTAACCTTCTTTTTCCTTATCTATCAATTTTTGTTAGATCGTATGTCCTTACCCTATTGGTTAATATCTTTTATTACTATTTTTTTCTTTGTTGTAACCTTATCATTTCCTCTTTGTGTTTTCCTCATTCATTCACTGTTTTGTCACTGAAGAAGGTGCATCATTAAAATACAAAATGTATACTTTGGGCTCTTTATACTTTGTTTTAGTTTTCTTTTTTTTAAATGGCACTGTTTGAAACTTTTGCAACTTGTGTTTACTTTTTTTAAATGCATAAATTAAGTTATTAGTCAGGGAAAAAGTAAATCCAGTATTCCCTTCAGATACCGATTTAAGGAAAAAGAATTGTATGCTTATTTTAAGTTTATCAAAAAATACATTTTTTTAAAAATTATGTTATTTACAATTTTTAAAAAAAAGTTTTGTTGTACGCATTAAGTTTTTTTCAGTAAATACATTCTAAAATCATTTTAGTTCAATTGTTTATATGACTATGTAAACTATAGAACTAAATCTATTTATATCATTTTTTTTCGTTTTGGTTATTGGAACCAAATGAGATATGCTATTCTGGTTGTAAAAAATGTTTAAATCTTTAATTCTGCATAACTTACATATTTGAGTGCATTTTTTGCTTTTTTTCAGCCTCAACTAAACTTATCAACTTGTTTAATACTAACATTGAATAGTGTATATGTTAACTTGTTAGTGATAATGGTTATTTAAGTTAATTCAAACATAAACAGTATTTATAGTGTTAAGGAAAAAAGTAAATAATTTTTCTTTCTTATTTTTCAGCAAAGAAGACTTGAAAATGCTTTCCGAAGTATGCTTAAGAATGCTGTACCTTCTGTAGATTCAACAGTTGAATGGAGCCAGGTAAATATTTGATTTTTTTCTTCTGTAAGTTCCAACCTACCTATTTTTAGAAAAAATATTATTTTTATTGTTTTGAGTTTTAATATTTTGTGAATCAATTTATTTTTTCATCATTGCCCAATGATCGTTTGGTATCAGAGATTTAGAAGTAAACAAGGCTCAACAAAGAAATCTTACAATATTCTTCCCTTGAAGCAATATTTCTTTGAAACATCTTGAAATGAACAAATTGAGAATAAGAGATAAAATTATTTCAACTAGGAGAAAAAATTGTGAGATAACAAAGATATAACATGGATTCACATGGAAATCTGACACAAAGAATATTTAGTAATTGTGGTTCAATTGATATGGACTTATTGAAGAAACTCCCAAAAGAAACTTAACAGCATTTGCTACAAAATAGGAAAACACTATGTAGACATCTTAGGCCTGACACCTTTGCTCCCATTGCTGGTCAGAACAAAACTCTTTTTAGGATGAAGGTAATTCTCAAAAGTAATGTAATGACAGCTACGTCTCTGAATTCATTAAAATAATAAACAAAATGACAAATTCTGATATAACAGAATATTTGTCAGGGTATATGATATATTTTTGAATTTTTTTTTTATAAAATGAAAAAGAAAGTAAAGATAAAGGAATAACAAAACATTTTGTTGATCATTTAAATTTATGTTAAGCAATAGAATAATTAACCCACTGAAAATTCTAGGCTTGGAACAAGAAAATTTAGAACATTGTTTAGCTCATCCATTCCCTTAGAGTGCTGTAGTGCCATAATAGAAGAAGAATGAAGAAAATAGAATTTTTTGAAATCAAAGATTGCTTTTAGAGGTTCTCTGGTCTTGGGATGCAAAGAAGCCTCTAGTTTTTCATGGTTGTTTTAAAATATGAAATGTTAGACTTACTTAGAGTATAATTACTTCTCTAGCTTTTATGAGATTGTATCTAAGGGACTTGCAAAAGGATTCTCAATCACAAAATGATTTGTTTAGCATCAAACAATGGATCAACATTGAGAACAGTACAACAACACATATTTGAAAAGCTAAGTTGTCTCATTTACAGGATCTATAAAGAAACTTTTTTTCTTTTACATTAGCCACCTAAAATTATACAGTATGTCCCAAGTCATAAGACTACTCACAAAAGACAAGGAAATTGGTGTAAACAAATCATGGGGCCATTCTTCTTTGATGGCACAATTAATAATTTAGCATACCTTTTCATGCAATTTGTTAATTTGTTTGTACCTGCAGAAAGATGGTGGTTTCAGGAGAATGGAGCTACTTCCCATACATCTGCAACAACCATGTCATGTCTTTCCTTAAAGAGTTTTTTGGGGACTGCCTGATTTCAAAATGATTGAGGCCTCCCTGAAGTGTGAACTTGTCACCTCCAGACTTTTTTCTATGGGGACTATTCTCCAGACTATTTTCTAGTCTATATACTAATATTTCCATCACCCAACTAAAGTCGAAAATTGAACAAGGGATCAAAAAAGTTTTCCCTCAAGTGTTGGTCTTAAATTACCTTGTTAAATGTGCCAATGTTTGTAAAAGCGTTAATGGAGGTCACTTTGAAAATTTCTTGCAATTTGTGTTCAATAAACATGCCTTTTCTCTGATCTCCATGTTTCTTTTTTCTGAGTTAAATTTTATTTAGGACAAACTATCTTGCTAACTTTTTTCGTGCTGTATCACACTGTCGTCATCTTGCAATTGGCCATAAAATTGTGAAGCCTTAACCTACATCACAACTGTGGCCCATAATGGGCTGTTGTGGGAATGAATGCATTACTTAATATTTTTGTTCATGGGCTATTTTTTTAAAACTAATTTAATATTAGTCTAAAATCATTGTCTGCTTAGTATCATTAATTAAAATGATACATAGTTTTTATTTTTTTGAAAGCTTGCTTAATGTTCTTTTTCTTTTTTTCATTTTAGTATTTTTTTCTTTTAAATTTACGTGACATACAGGGTTTTACACTTTAAAAGTGATGCTAATTTCATAGTTAAAAGTTATTCTTTGTTTTCATGTTAGGTTCGAAGACAATTTGAAAATGAAGCTCCATTTGAAAATATAACAGTTGAATCCGAAAGAGTTAGACTGTTTAAAGAATATCAACAAACTCTTGAGGTGAGATTGCTCTATTATATATAAAGAACATTTTATTAAAAATACTTTTTATAGTATAAGATAAATTTTTAGCTGAAGAATTCAGCTGTAAAATGCTTTTTTATTATAATTCGTTAATGATCTATATTTACTTTTATGATTGTATTTGATTTTTTTTACAATAAAATTTAATTTTAGACAATAATGATAAAAAGTGTCATAAAAAGTGAAAATGTTTTAAATTCTTTTTGTATTCTTGTATATTTTGTAAAATCAAGTAAATTTTGTTTTTCACAATACAATTTTGTCATCACAATACAACAACACATAGTTGATGTTGTTGCATTGTTTTTGCCTGGACCCTGATGTTAGTTCTTTGTTTGTCTTGCTTTTAATAGAAAATTTCCTAATTGAAAATTTTGAGAAAAAAATGCATAAATAAACAATGTACTAAAATTGATTTATTATTCTGCTTATCATATTAGAAGTTACATGTGTAATATTTCAAACTGAAAAAGTGACTGAAATGAAAGAGGAAAGTCAACATTTTTTTTAAATAAATTTAATAGTTACAAAGTAGTTTGTTTCTTTTTATTGTTTTTTACTGATATTTCTTACTGAAGCCTTCAGTCTGCATGTTATTTAAAAATATGTTGTAGCTAAGAGGTTTAATGTATTATCTTTAAATAGTCAAAATTATGAATTTTAGAATCTAATAATAAAAATTAAAACTTTTGACGGTTGTATTCCGTGTTTCATATTTATCATTATTTACTTAATATCATTTCTATAGTTTTAATGTGATATAAGTTTTGCATTTCTTTTATATGTCACAAAAAATTAAATCGAATTGAACTTTTTTTCCAAAAATAAACTTTTCTTTCTTTTGAATTGGCAGCTATGATTCTAAGAACTTCCATAGTCCAGAATTTTTTTAATATTTTACTATTTAAAAAAAATAATTTAATTATTAAAATTGTATTAGTTTATTTTATTTTTATTCAGATTTTATTTCTTTGCATTTCCTGAAACTCTGTTTAAACATAGTAATTTTTTTCACGCAGGAAGCTTGCAGTCATCATCATAGTAAACCTAAAAAGCATTCCAAAAAGTCAAAGAAACAAAAGCATCGGTCTCATTCCAGATCTGTGAGTATAATTATATGTTTGATTAGCAATGTGCTTCAATTTTTTTTTTTTTTAGGTCACCAGAAAACTTATTTTTAGAAAGTAATTTTATAATTTTTTTAGTTTTAAGAAAAATGTCTTTGTGTTACATATAAAGAAAAGTAACTACTATCTATGCTTTATACCATGATTCCCAATTTCAGCTACTTTCTATTTTGCCATTTCTTAGACATATAGGGGAGTGTCGGGTACCCCCGCCCACTGTCAGTTTCATATGTATAGAATATTTTTTCAAGTCAATGGACAATCGAACATTTATTGTTATATTAAAGAAAGATTATTTTCAAAGTTTCAAGTATTTATGCAGCTGGTAACATGGTAAACAATAGTTTTGAAAATAGGTTGAATACAGTAGTCAAATTTTTTTAATTTCTATTTTTTTAAGTTAAACTATTATTTTTTTGGTTTATTCTTTTTGCATTATTTAATTAGATGATAAACAATAGAAACATACAGTAGTGCAAGTGCTGCGCCGATCTGCGCCAATTCTAGAAACCTGCGCCTACATGCTCCAAATTGAAATATTTGGCTTAAATTGCGCCGATCTGCGCCAAAAAGGATATTTTCCCCTGGGTATCGCCGAGTCTCAATTTTGCGGCAACCAAACTACTGCCATGTGGAGGGTTGCTCTGGATTCAGTGGGAAGGAAGGATTCTTGCACTCTCATTTGCAACTCTGCTTCATTTTGCAAGATATTCTCAATTTCAGGCTTCATTTTCCACTCTCTGAAATGGAACCGAAACTTCTCTCGAATTTTCGGGGACTAACTAAACATTGCCAAATTTTAATAGCAAAAGAAAATTTTATTTCTCTTGTTAATTTCATCGTTATTGAAGTGCCATCGTCTTCGTCAATGGCAAGCTACTGGCCTTCTTACGCTATTCTATTTATAGATTAGTACCATGATCTTTGAATTAACTTGAGGGACCATTCACTAAGTACATATTTTCATGTTGATCCTCAGAGCAGTCAAGAACCACAAAGCTTCATATCCTCAAAATTTCCATCTCCCTTTTGTTCATTTAATTTAATAAAGATAAGAATTAATTGAGTTTCCTAAACGTAAATTTTTTATCTGAGGGACCATCCACTAATTGTATATTGTTTTTAAACATTTATTTTAATTTATTACCTTTTTTTACTAATATATTTTTTTACTTATTGCATTTTATAATTGTATTATTACTTTCAAATTTTAAGTGCTCTTAATTCGTTTTAGGAAAAAACTTAATAATATTTAGAGGCAAGATTTTAAATAAGTATGAAGAGAGGAGTTTTCAATATTTTAAATGCAGCAAAAAATCTTATGTTTTTCAGTTTTGTCATTCAAAAATACTTTAATTCATCTCTTAATGATTTGATTGAAAGCAACTGATATAAAAAATTCTAATTATCACAGATTTGCTAAATTTTATGAGTGTAGGGACAATATAATAATTTACTTCTGAAATTTTTTTTTTAGCTTCAATACTCATTGTATTTGCATTTAAAAATTATTTAATTTTTTTAAATAATTTCATTAATAAAATACTGTGCTTGGTAACCAATTTTAATAAAAATTTATTAGGGGCCATTCACTAATTTACATTTGTAATATAAATTAAAGTTTTTTTAATTGGCTTAATTCTTTACATATTTTTATAAATTCGGTATGATCAATACTAGTCCTGTTAATGTTTTATTGAATATACTATTACAAATAACATTTATTTAAATTTTAAGAAAAATGCACTCGATAACCTTAAATAATAGTTAAATTAATTCGAGTTTTGAATTACCTTTTACAGAATTAAATAAAGTAATTGTTAATTTAAAAAATAGTATGAGCCACTCAATATTGAATTTATTTAAATTGCTTTTGCCAAAAGCTCTTTTTTAAGAAATATTAAATAAATTTTTAGGTCTTTTCCAAACTGAGACACCATTGATTTACTTGCTGTATGATGAAATGGTGTCTCTAGTTAGGGGGTTCAGTACCTAAAAACCTTCAAAAAATCGAATTGAGATTTTGATCAATAATTAAACTAGAAACTATTAGCTTTCTAACGATATATTGCTTTTGTTTGAAATCCACGTAGAAGTGCACTTAAACTTAATTTAAAAAATGTAAACAAACCGAAAACACCCATGCCACGCCCACTTCTGACTGACGATTTCGTAAACATTATAATGTTCATTATTTTTTGCATGTGCTATTACCAAGCCATTAAAATTTTTTTTATAATTTCAACTTTACAATATCTTTAGTTGATTGTAACTTTAACTGGATTATTTTTTTGTTCTTTATTTCCATGCGATTTTCGAGAATTTTGAATATAAAACTAAGATTTACATTAGTTTGATTTTTTAAGTCTATTTTTGTTTTGTTCTTTTATTATACTGTTATTAGGTCATTATTTTTACGTTTTTTTTTATTCTTCATTACGNGTGGAATTCTCAGAAAAAAAAGGGTGGAAACATCTCGAAAGAAAGGGGCTCTTCAAGGAGCTGGTAAGGAATTTTAGGGGGAGAATGTCCAAATTGCGCTACCGCTTAAGGGGCTAAAGAAAGATGATGAAATAAAAAATGTATTACAAAATTATAAATTAAGTCAAAAGAATTAGTATTATTGATTAAAAAAACAGGATATTTATAAATTAGGCTGTGACCTAATGTCACAATATGTTATTAATGAACGAAATTAAAAATTCTTGTTATTAAATTCTTATTTTAATTCTTTTTATTAAATATGCTCCAAATCTTTGTTTCGCTGCTCCAAAATTGCTTTTTTGTTGCTCCAAAGATTCTCCAAAACCATGTTTTGCCACTTGCACCAACAAAAATATTGATTATTACTCAATATTATTCAGAAATATACGCAATAATCCTTAAGTGGGCGGGGCTACCTGACTTTCCCCTATATATATATATGTATATATATGTGTGTATGTATATTTACTAATGGAAGGTTTTCTGTTATATTTGCAGCGCTCAGAATCAGAAGAAGATTACAGGCACAAAAGCAGTCGGAAAAAGAAACACAAATCTCGATCGAGATCTAGGTCCAGATCTAAAAGCCGATCATCAGGAGATTCCAGAGGCAGATCAGACGATGGTAAAATATTTTTAAAATCGATATACTATGAAAATAGTTTACATTGTATCATATCATAGCCTAGCATCAAATCTAATGATTTCAATGAAATATGTTACAAACTGAAAGATCTTAGAATAACAATAACTACATGTTTTTAAAATTCCAAATTTATTATTTATTTATTAATTTTCTTTTACGTTATATGTACAATACATAATTTTCAAATCGATCGTTTGATAAATCATTCTATTCAGGTGGGAATTCCATTTTAAGTTCGCATGATTTTCTGGTTATTTTTTTTTATTACTTATTTCTATGTATTTCCACATGGTTTTTCAAGATCCTAATATTTTTCATAAAATCTTAATTGGATCTGCTAGATTCAAGATATCATACCATTTAAAAAAAATTCAATCTTTTGGATAGGTTATGGATAGTTATTGGCTATGTACTTCAACACAATCTTTTATACCCAAATTTTTTTAATGCAACACATTTACGCAAATGAATCTCAAAATTTTTAATTGAATAATAATTTTTGATGCTTTTGATCTGCTGTGGAATAATCGCAAGTTCAGAAATATGGTAAATGCCTGTGGTTTTGACGATTGCTTTTTTAGCAATATCGTCATGTTTTTTCACATAATAATAAAATCCTTATTATTATTTTTTAAATTGAATAATATCATTGGTGGAATAGTCTAATATTTCAAACATATTTGGTGGCATTCTCCCTATGTCGCTATGCTGGTGTAAACCTTAGTTTCCATCTATATTGTTTGGTTATAGCGTAATAGCTTCATTAATTTGCAAAAAATATTTCTGCCACATAAATTGGCTTCACATCATCTCATAAAAGTAACTTCTTTCTTTAAATTAAGATATTAATTTAAATTTTGAACTAATAATTCAATTCTATAAACTATATATTATTATACTCTATTTTTCTTAATTATTTTCCGTAATTTTTCAATTGTAAAGAATTGATAAGTTATAATAAGCTGTCTTTGATTTAATATGGCTGATACGTTTTCTTATTGCATTGAACAATTGATATTTATTTGATTTTAATCTAAAAATTTTCTTAATAGAGGAAAATCAAAGACGTCACAGGAAAAAATCCAGGAGGAAAGATAAAAGACGGTCTCCTACAGTAAGTATTATATTGTGATTTTGTGACAAATATCAGTAGTTAATTTTGAATAATGTAATTTGTTGAAATTTTTATTAATTTTGTTTGTCTCCTCAGCCATCATCTTCTGAAGTTGAGAGTGATAATGATCGTAGGGGTAGAGATAAGAAAAAGAAAAAAAAGGACAGCCGCCATAATCGCAGCCCAAGTCATAGTAGTAGCCTATCTCGTGAAGAGGGAGAAGTTGATCAAACTAGTGACAAGGTTTGTCGTATAAGTCGATAATGTATTTATTATTTTCATAAAAGAAGGTTGTCTGATTAAAGTTACATGTTGTCTATACCTTTGTATAATAATTGTTATCTCAATATCATATTTTTTTCATATGTTAGTTTAGAACTATATTATTCACAATTTCATTGCATCGTGCAATTTTTCATTTGTGTTTTATACTAGTCGGTAATAGAAGTGGAATGCATAGGATGCGTTTGATTCCATTATGCAAAACATTTGTGAAATTATATTGGTTAACAAGCATTATCTGTAATAACACTAATAACCCAATTTCAAATTGATCACAAAGATTAATTATTTAAAATTTATACTTTATCCTTAACTAGATTACTGGTTTTTCAGTAGTTTAAGTTTCATCTTTTTCTTTTCATTTGACTTCAACTTAAAAAATAATGGGGGAAAAAATAATTTATAATGTTGTTGATATTAAAAGCATCAACAGTTGCGGATTTAGCATTTAAAAATATAATAAATCTCTATATACATATTGTTTTATTTATGTGATTTTTAGAATAGAGTTCATAATTAAAAAAAAAAGGAATTTTTATTGCACAATCAGGATTTGTAGCATTTTTATAAAGTGCTTAAAGGTGCTTATTTTTAATTTTTTTTTTTTAAAAGCCAGTTAAGTTACTTTTTATTGGGTGTTTGTTAAAAGTGCTTAATTTTCTCTCTTCCAAAACAAGATTTTATCTTTGTCTTGTTGATTGTCATTATGAATTACAGAAAAAGTGAGTGTTTCACAATGCTCTGTTTAACATTCTCACAATTTATTCAACCACTATCTATTTTGGGGTGCAGTCATATGTATATTCGGGGCGCCGCATGCGCAAACACTGAGCTGGATTTTCCCACTCTCACATGCAATTCTGCCATATTTTATGTGGAATTTCAGACTTCAATGCTCCTTTCAACTTCTGAAATTAAATCGAAATTCTCTTGAATGTTTGCTGATATAGGGGACCAACTAAAAATTGTCTAATTTTTTGCCTTCATCAATTCAAAATTTTCATCTTCCTTTTATTCATTTGATTTGATAAAGATAGGAATTGATTGAAATTTTTTAATTCAGGGATGAGACTTTTCCTCTTTTTAGCGGATTTCCGCCTTTTTCATTTTTGTCTCTTGAATTTCAGCCTTATTATCAAAACTCCGATTTTCTAAAAGATTCAGTTTTTTTTAATAAATATTTCGCCTTTTCTGAAAATTCAGTCGTTGAAATAAAATAATTATATTTATTTCTGATTTGATATATAGATATAATATATCGAAAGATATATTGAAGATTCAAACTACGTAGCTGCTAACCCTTCTACATATCTGCTTATTTTAGCTTTTATGAGCAGAAAATAAGATTTTCTTAATTTTCCCCCTTCCGCTAGATAGCTTGTATTTTAATATCAAACATCGATTTTCATATTTACCTGATTTAAAAGTTGCGCATTGCGATTCTTATTCACGAGATTTAAAAATCCAATATCGCGATTTGTATTGAGGCATTTCTAAAATTCTATGTAACGATTCGTATTCACAGCGAGTTTATCCAATGTCGTGATTTGTTTTTGCGGTTGTAATATTCAACAACTATTTTTGTATTTACACATGATTTAAAAATTAGCCTTTGGACTCGTATTCACGCCATTTAGAAATTATGCATCGTAGTTCGTATCTACACGATCTGAAAATTACGCATCATGATTTGTATTTTCACATTTTTGAAATCCAATATCGAGTTTCATTCCCGTGATTTCAATATCGTGATTTATATTCACGCGATTTTAAAAATCAAGATGTAAAAAGTAAGTTTTTTTTTTTTGAATTAGTTCCTATAAATGGCAGTTTTTCTATCGACGATTATTGCTATATGTAGGCATTACAACATCAGCGAAACTGTATGAGAATATTTTACTGATATTTTTGCTATAAATCACGATTTCATCGCATGAAAATTCAGCTTTTTTGCCTTTTGGCCAATCTTATCCCTGTAAATTATGGGAGTTTGTGCTGGAAGGACCTGACTAGTTGTTGAAATATTTCAAGCTTTTTATTATAAATACAGTATTTATTATAGTACTTATGTAATAATTATTGTGTTAATGTATATATATTTTGATTGCATGTATAAATGTGCATTTATACATTTCACTGATTAGCTTACTAATAATTACAGATTGAGCTTTAGTTATTTTAATTCTTAGATTATACTTTATAATAGTTCAGAACCCCTTATTTTCCAGCATTAAGAAGTTTGTACTTATGGAGGGGGGAGGGAGATAATCAAAAGCCTTATTAATTAGGTGTGTCTGATCATATTTTATAAAGAATGTTAGGCATGGCTCAATATCGTTAAGATCTTTAAATTTTTTATTTTTTTTAAGAGCTTGCAATGTTAATTATTTAAAGGAAAAACTGAAGGAAAATTAATTTAATCAAATAAAATAATTTATAATAATTAATAATAATAATTAATTAGTTAATTAACAACATTGGAGTAGTATTTAGAAATAAGTTTTTGTTATATTTTTTTAAAATGCTAATTATTTTATGATAAAGCCATCTTTGTTAAAATTATGCTATTTGCTGAATATAATACAAATTTTTTTATGTAATGTTAAAATACTATCTTTACCTATGTGGGAACATTAAGATTTGTTACGGTTTTTCATTTTGATGTATTTTTTAATATGATTTTGATATATATTATATCAAAACTTATGCCAAATATTTTTCTTAATTTTCTTGCTTATTTTTTGAATCATAAGGTTTTTATAACTTTAAAAAAAAGTTATTAAAATTTTTTTTTTTGCAAAAAACTTTAACACTTTATTTGAAAGAAGTTAAAAAAAATATTTCTTTTTTTTTATTTGGAAATTGACAAGTGTTGACTAATATTTTTGTCTCAATAAATTAAGTGCAAAAATATGTTAAAATAAGTGCATATAATAATTAATTTTCCATCCCTCAGTATTTGGTTATGATGTACTCCACATTTCACGAAGTTCAGCCTTCAGATATTGTTATTTAAAAATTTTATCATTTTTTTGTGATAAACTGAAGCAGTTACCCGTAGTAAAACTAAGATTGTAAGAGTGTATTATACAGTAAAATTGTAAGACAGTTGCTTAGCTAAGATTAAAGCAATGTGTCTTACTTATTTTAAACTAACTAGTTATATAAAAATTAAATGTCATTTTGTTGACTCATGTCTTGACATTACTTGAAAAATTTAACAAAATTGAGCCCATTTTCCTCTGGTTGTATTTTTTCCAAAATTTTTTTCTCCTACATTGTTCATGGTAAAAATGTAATTTATTTTTTTAATTTTTTTAAATATTAATAATTTTAGTCTAAAGATTCCTTATGTACAACAATATGCTTCAAGTTGTAGACTCTCTACATGTTTGACTGATTAAGTTTTAATCAATAAACTTTTTCACGAAAGAAAAGAGTTATAAAAAGATTTTGAATCATTGAAGAAGTGAATTCAAGTTAAATAAATACATTTTTCCTTCATTAAATGAGGAAAATGAATAAAGAAAGTGAATTGTTATGCCTTAAAAATTTTAGTATTGATATTGAATTGAATCTAAAATCTGTTTGTAAAATTAAAAATTCATTTTAATTGTGTTAATTTTAATTTTCATAAATTTAAAAAATTTCAGTTCTGAATTTCAGTTGCTAGTGATATTTTAATATTTCCTTGGATTTAAAAAAAATTTTCTTTTTTGAACTTCATACTTATTTCTAGATTTTGGGACATACATACAAATTCATATTTTTCTAAACTGAAATTGGATCTGGGTGAATAAATGTTTTCTTCTTATGCTTTTTTTTCATAAAAAAAGTGAATTATGGGATATAATACGGCTCACACGAAGAATATCAATTTTCTCTTAAAATTATGATGTAAATATAACAAAAATTTAAAGTAATAAGCATTTGTTTATAATTTAAACTATAGATAGTTAAAAAAATGTCATTAATGAGTTTTGCTTAGAGCTTATTTAAACAAAACGCTGTGTAATGGCTTGAAAATGAAAGATTCTATTCCTATGCATTCTTTATACTTGACTTTTGTAACATTTAAAAAAAATGTATCTGTTAATGATTAAGGTTAAAAAAAATTCTGTGTATTTTTGTTGATCTGTTAAAAGATATGTTTTTAGTGATTTGTAATTTTTACTTTGATAAAATTTAAATATATTTATAAAGTAAATTTGCTTTGAAGTGTAAAAAACTTTAAATAAAACAAAATAATTTCTATTATATTGCATTAAGTTTTTAAAAACAGGGGGAAAGTTTTTTCTAATAAGTTTCTCGTTTATAACTCAATTATATTCTGTTTGTAAAAATTTACTACAGTTCATGTAATCGTATGGACAGAAATGCAGAATTTGTTTAATTTACAGAAATACATTTATACAATACTATTTTATATAATTTAATTACAACTATTCTATTAAATAGAAACATTATAATTATTTGTTCTTTATCTTTCTGAGCAATTTCAAATTATAAACAAATGTTCTTATCAATAAATGCCTTTCAATTTTTAGACTTTAAAAGTATTATAAATTGATAAAATAATAATAATAATAATAATGATTATGCAGTGGAAAAAAAATTGGTTAAAAATTATATGCAAATTTTTTTGGTTTGCATTTCATTTTAACATGCTAATAAACATTATTAACAAATTGTGAATTCATTCTTTTGTCCATTTTAAAATGAATTATTGACTGACAAATTTAAAAAGCAAATTTAGAATAAACATATCATGGGATTAATATCTCTGGACTCTGGGAATTAAATAATATAACATTTCATTAAAACAAAACATTTTCAAAAACACATATTCCTAAAAAAATTTTTTTATGACAAACCATTTTGCTCATTAAGTAAGTTGACCTTAAATAGAGTTTGCATCTCATATTTAGTTAGAAGTAGTGAATTAGCATCTATATATTACATAGCATTTGATTTATAAAGGCAGCAGTGATATTTAATTGATTTCTATCAAATATTCTAAGTAACACTATAATTAGTTAATAATGAAGTTTTTCAATAACAATGTAAAAGATATTTAACAGTTTTGATTTCTCATGATTTGCTAATTTTATATTAATAAAATCATGTTTCTATATCAAAATTCTAATCAATATAAACCCAGACATACAAATAGCTGACAGTAAATTACTGTATCCTACCTGCCCGAAACATAAGTTGTTGTTTTAAATTCCTTTTAAAAAAGTTTCAAAAACTCCTTTAAAATTTTGAGAAAAAAATCTTAAAGAGTTAACTTTCTCTATGATATTTTTTTTAAACTTTAATCAAATTTAATAGTCTAATATTGTGTTGAACTTTTATATTAAATACAAGGTAAAGTTTTATCTTCATTTAATATCTTTTTTATCCTCCATGTATAACAGCTGCAATAAAATAAGTTTAAAAAAACCCTATTTAAAATATGTTAATCACAAATTGACACAGGTAGTAACACTATTATGTAATGCATCTCCAGTCACCAGTCCTATGAAATTTTTTTGTTTTAAAATTTTATGGTGTATAGTCCACAAATGAAATTCATTATACACTGAATAACTGTGGACCTAATGGTCATATCAAACTTTACTTTTAATATGTAGTCGTATCATTTGAAGTCACTCAGAGACACAAAAATTAACTTTCTCAGAGTAAACATAAATTTTTTTTTGACCATTTCAGATTTTTGACAATCACGTTATGGATGATAATAGTAAACTTGCAGGTGTGACCCCATTAGTGTAGTCAGGAAAATGGTCAAAAGCCTTTATTGTTATTTTACTTTAGTTCTTTGGAACAAATTTTAGGCAATTTAAAATGTTAGTACACCCAACTCAAAACTTTTATGTAAAAATACTTTTTATTTATTTATTATTTTAATATTTAATTTAATAATGACTTAAAATAATTTTGAACTGTTTCTACATACATTGTAATTCATAAGTTTTTTTATTAATTAATTGTACATACATTATAATTCATAAGTTATTATTATACAATAAAAAAGTAATTTTTAGCACATAAAGTTATCATTGAGTGGTTCAAACTTTTTTGTTAGAGCGATATCTACTAAACTATAGCTTCCTTTATAACTTGCAATAAATAATTGTTTTATGTGTAATTTTCCATTGAAAAATACTTAAAATTCTTTTAAGTTCTGATAATCCAAGTGTACGATTTCTTTTTTTGTTATAGCTACTGAAGTTTATCGATATTTGAAAAAGAGAAGGAAAACTGTGATTCAAATATATAAAGATATTTATACTTTAAGGCTGTGCAACAAGTTTAAATTGATGCAATATCTTGTGTCTTATAGTGCTTTTTTTAATTATAAAATAATAAATTATCAATTGTCAATTTGCCTTAGTAACAAAAATAAAGAAAAAAAAGAATCAGATATTGATAAATTTTAAGGTTTGAATGATAAAAAAGAAATTTTTTCCCCTGAAACAGAGAACTGCAGTTTTTAACACATTTTGTGCTGTGAAATAACTTGCTGGTGTCTTTTATTGAAAAGCTGATTAGAAACCTTTGCCAAAAAATAACACAAAAACAAATACTAATGAAAATTATGATAAAATATAAATTATAAAAAAATTATGATTGTAATACTTTGAGTAGATTTTTTTACCTTTCAACTCACTGTGCCTTTAAATAACACTTTTTATGAATTAATTAGTTAATTACCTTCATCTGAGCTTTCAGTAATTTGAGTTGTTGCTGACCTTGAGTATCTAAACATTTTTGTCTTTGAATAAAAGGAAAAACATAATGTATGTTAACTAAATAATATTCTCTGATTACCTTAAAAATGTTGCTGGCTTTGATAAATTGCATTTTTTTAATATAAATATTTTATAATGCCTGTGCTGGAAGAAAATGCCTGTTCGGCATTATGACTTAGCCTTTCAAATGCTTGACTAACTACCAGAAAGTTTTAGTTTACTTAGTTACCCAGATTTATCAAGAACCCTAAAGAAACATTTAGTAAGGAAGAAATTATTGGTAGAATATGATAGATTGATGAAAGCAATAGTGGTTGAAATTTTAGTATTTATTGTCAAACTAGCCTTCTGCAGTTTTCAAGTTGCATTTAATATTAATACTTTCTGTTTGAATCCTCTTTTTTATATTGTTTGTCATTAAAATGCATACCAGTACATACTGATTAAGAAATCATGATACCTAAAACTTTACCTGGTGTTTATATTTAGAGAAATTAAGCCTATTTCATTCAAGACATGGCATGTGAACTTGTAAAAAATAACTGGCTTTTGCTTTTAGTTTAACATTTCTTGGTCAACCTGCAAACAATCTGCAACATTTGTTTATTTACAAAATATTATACAGAAAGACGCAATAAATAAATGATGAAAATAATTATAAATTTAGACCAACTTTTTTTTCTTTCTTTCTATTTTTCTAATACTTCAAATTGTGGTTGTAGAGTTAAGTGGTTAAGTAAATATATATTATGAGCCATTGTAGATTTTTTTGTTTATCCCTTCTTGAAATATCTAATTTTTCTTTAAACGTATATGTAACACATATGTTAAGCAAAACCATTGTTTTTTGTATTAAAAATTTCTCCTTCTCTAGATTATGCCATAGATGGAATCTGTTTGGATTATTAAAAATTTTTTAATACAGACCTTAATGCAATTTTTAATACAGAGATATTCCTTGAAATTTTATTTTATCCTCACTACTAAAACTCGTTCAATTTTTCCCATTTACTTTTGCATATAAACTAACATTATATACTTATTTTCTAAAAAGAACCCTCATTGTTGCCTTATTTATTGCTTACTTGAGACATAAGTTGGGAGATAACTATTGAAAATTGTTTTCTCCATTTATTTCAGCCTTCTTTAAATATTTGATAGTGATAATATTCTTATATCTTTGTGTGTTTAAATCATTTCAAACCAAACACTCTTTGAAAAGAAAGTCTATGTAAAAGCAGGTTATGAAAAATTCCATAGTTTCAAATACTAGAAGGCATTTAAAACTTTTAAAAATGCTTGCATCAGAATTACTACTTCACGAGTGTCAAACTTTAACTTTTTCTGAATCACAGGCTCATGGCGATTTGTAATCAGAAAACTTCACAAAAAATTAAATGGGAATGAAAATGTTCTCGATTTGTAGTTATTCAATGTTCCAGCTTGGAAGTTGAGGCTTCCAAGGTTACCATAGTTTGTGAACTGTTGCAAAACACTAGGCTAGGGCTTTTACAAATTTTTTTAAAATTAATACTTGAGATACCTTCTTACTTAACTTATTATGTGATCCTACATACATAAAAAATATTACAGGTATGGCGAGTTAGTAATATATGTTATGGTGTAGACTCCTTGTGACTTCATATAGGATCTGAAGCACAACTAACAGTTTAAGAAGCTCTTCCATAGACTCTGAAAAACAAGAGAAGTGGTTTACATATTCTATATAAGATAAAATGTTACCTTTCAGTTTTCTTTTGTTTCTAATTAAATAACTCTGGCTTTTACAATGCAACATATACTGATTAATCTAAGAGGTTCACGTTATTTAAAACATGGGGTGAAATTTCCCAGCTTGTTTTTCTTTTAAACTTGAAAATATTCTTCATTTTTCCAAATTCAGTGAAAAAAACAGAAACAGAATTGTTCTTGCACTTCTGATATTGATTGTTTTCAATATAACTTTACATAAGACACATAAACATTAATAGGAAAGCTTTATTATATTTCCAATTAGACATTCTGAAATTGCTGTAAAAATATTAAATACTAGACAAAAACTAATATTCTGTTATGAAACGAAAAGAAAAAAAAAAGCTTTTGGAGATTTATGCTTTTTTTTTTTTAATTGAAAACTATGTATCACTTCACTGACTTCCAAAAAGTGAACTAGCGTTATATCCAATTTTGAGACTATAGAATTAAAGTTTTCTCAAAATAGTTTATTTTTACAATTTCTTACTTAAGCGTGCAAACAAATACAAAAATGACACAGGTAGTAATACATACATAGGTTGTACTATACTATATTATACTATTCTATTTCTTACAGTTGCAGGAAGAAATTAAGTTTCACATTATTAGAGCAGTACATGTCAATTATAAAGAAATACACATTAAACACTTTTTATGAAACATTGTAATAAAATCAAAGAAGCTTAGGTATTATTGATATTCTCATAAAACACAATTTCATTGCAGTTATGCCACCTATTTACGACATTTTCTGTAATTTCTATTGATTGTAATTTTGCAAATATTTTATGAAAAACTTTTAAAAATGATAGAAAAGTTGTCTTTCTCTCTCTCTCTTTTTAATGGTTTCTTACAGTTTATACACTCTAGTATATTTTTTCACTCATGTGAAAGGGTCATGTTAAAGTGTCATGTGAATGACCCTTTAATTTTTGAAAGAAAACTTTATTTTATCTCTGCAAACGTACTTTTTTTTGCTTGTATGTTAAATTCGAAGTATTCTTTTTAACACAATGTGCAATAATATTTCATTCAAAATATTAACTAAAAATAAACTCCATATCTATGGAAAACTGCAGAAAAGTATTGCAATAGGTTGGCATTTCTGTCAGTGTAACAACAAAATAAATCTTAGAAATAGTTTTTAATTTATCTATTGCTTATTAATTCAATATAGTAAACTTACCAGAAGAAGTGGAATAGTAAAATATAGAGCAACAAAAAATTGGTAATTTACATTCAGCATTAATATCTAGTTAAAAAGCATAATTACTTAAAAATATTAGGTTTGTTTTCTTAGTTACACGAATAGTGTCTTTGTCCTCTTAATGCTTACAAAATACTTCATTATTACATTCATTCTATATTGATTCTCCCTTCATGCATTCATTAGGCTGGACCTTCCATTGATATGCGTAAGTCCAACAGGGTGAGTTAATGTTACTTAACTTTTTTTAATTGAAAGTCTATTGTTTTTCTTTTTTACTACACTTTGACTAAGTATAATTTCTCCCCATTATATTTATCAATGGAAAATGTGAATTTGCTTGCAAAAACTTGTCACTAACATCACACTGCACTTTACTTATAAATTGCTATTATAGAAAATGAAAACAAATCATTGATAAAACATGCAAGTTTTCTAAAACTGCCATACAAGCTTGTAGGCAAACTAGGATACATAATAAAAATTGAGAATTGTTTAGCTATCCATGACTAGAAAGTGAGTGGAAGAAAATGGCAATAGCGATAGAAGATCTGCTAGGACACGAGTAATAAATGGAAAATGTAAAAACACGTGTACGTGTTTGGATACTTGTTCTAGATTAAGGAAGTGACAGGAGATGTTCGAAGTTTACACCATTTTGAGTGTATCCCTGCACTTTGAGAGTTTCTTTGATTGTAGCAACTGTGTATACGAGTTCATTGCTGACTCCACAGGCTTATTGTATACCATAGTTCTCCATGGAACGGAATCAGATGTGCATGAGTGGGCATTAGAGATGAGATGTACTTGTTTACTGAAAAAAAGTTTCAGGCTCAAACTCGTCATAAAATTTTTTCTACTTTTAAACGAACATTTGCTTCAGTTATTAAGAATAAAAAATAACAATCTGTGTCGGTGCATTTGCTTTATGAGGCTAAAACTTTCTGTCAAATGACTTTTATTGAGTTTAAGATTTTGATTTTCTTTTTTTAATTTTTGTTTTAATCATTCTGGAGTTTCAGTCCATACATAGTCGGCATTGGATGTCACTCCTTGTCTGGTTGACGATAGCGAAATGCAAATTGAGTTAGTATGGCGAACTTAGGGCTATGGCATTCAATTGACAGAGTGATAAATTTTATTTAGTCTGGTAGTAAAAAGTAATATTCAATGTATCATGAATGTTTACTAAGTGAGCACTGTTTAGGGGTTGGCAAAGCATTAGCAATCAAAGCGCCCTAGTATATCTTTCTTATATGTTGAAATTCTTTCTAACCGAAACAGTATTTATTAAACGTAATTTATTCATATGTGCAAGGTTGTTTTGGTAAATTTAGATGTGAGGAAGCGAGCCAGAGTTCATCTCCAGTGGACATCTGGCAGCACCCTTGTTGTGTTGTTAGGCGGGTAGTAACATAATATTAATTAGAATACCACATGAAATCTTCTAAGTTAGATACAGCATATTTGATACAAGTATTTTATTCAAATTCATTCACTAGCCTTGCATTTTCTCTTATTTTTAAAAATAAATGAATTATATAGTTAAGCTTTTATTTTGCAATTACTAAAACCAAAGTTAAATAAGTATTTCATTATTTAATTGTGATACATAAAGATACATTTTGTTAAAAATGTTATAAAGAAAGAAAGCTTATATCTTAATTATTTCCTGTGTTATTGCTTGCCTAAGGTGAACTGATAATTTTGAGTAGCATTTATTTCACTTGTGTAGCACAAAATTGTTAGTATTTCTTAGAAACAGTGAAGCAGTAACATAGAAGCATTATTATTTCCCCCATTCAAAACTTTTGAGATAAATTAATTCTCATTAATAGTTAAAAAATGTATTTTAACACAAAAATACTTTTTTCCTTTCACTTATACAATTTTTTAAAAACTAATTATAATACCTTTAAGTGGCACCCTATACGAGTTGATAGCAACTGTGGTTAGCTCATGTAAGTTGTATTAACTGGTTAAATTAAATATGAGCTAATATTTGAGGCTCTATTAGGTGATTAGTGCAAATATGAGCCTTTGATTTAGCAACAATTTTAATTTTCCTGCTATTTTGTGCCATGATTATAAATTTAAATAATCTAAGAGCAGCAAGTTCTTTAAGTAATGTGCTATTTTTCATTATAATATAGCAATAAAAGTTACCAAAAATTTAGGCTGTTTTCTAGTATTCATTATTATTATTTAACATAAATTATGGATCTTTTTTTTGAGATCTGAAATATTTTTAAAAATTTTTTCGCTGTCTTAACAAAACATACTTTTTGCAAAAAAAAATTTGCTGGTGTTTTAGTGAGAACCGGTTGTATTTCTATAAAAGGAAATTTTTTTTTAGTTAAAATCAGGAATAATTAGAAATTTATATAAAGAAAATTCAAATAAAGAAGTTAATAATGTTCTATCATCATCATGCTTGTTTTATCTCTTGATGCTTGTTAAGTCAATTTAGGATCACTCCTTTTTATTTAGAAATGAAAAAACAACTACTTGTATATGTTAGTCTTATTTCTGCTATATGTTGAAAGTAAATAATTGATTACACATATTGTGAATAGAAAGACAAATTTCATAAGTGAAATCTATATTAAAATAATATCTTCAAGTTGGAGTTAAGATAATTCAAGAAATTTTAAGCATATGTCATTTATACCCCATTTAAGAGCACACCACTTTCAAAATTTGTTTCCTTTTCGTAAATCATGATGATAAAAGAAATAAACAAAGTGGTTTTTGACCTGGTATTTACAATTCCCTGACACCTGGACATAACAGTTCCTAAAACACTATAGCCGATGCTCAATATTTTAATAAAATTTAATACTAAAGCAAAAAGCTGTTGTGCTTCTTTCTATTTCATAACATCCTGGCTCCTAAAAACTGAATCTATCTCTTAGAAATTTTGCTGACACTTGGTTTTAATCACTGTTGTTTAGCTCTTCACTCTAAACAATGAGTAATTATTTTTTTCTTAATTGGTGGGTTGATTTCGAGTGCTCCATCTAATAACCAAAATTCTGTTGCCTTGCTAATTTATTGAATGCCTAAATTTATTTAGTGACCTATATATTCTTTTTGATCTAATTTATGGTTATCTTTTGTTCATGCAAAGCTTTAAGGAAAGGCACCAAATTTCTGTTCTTAATAGTATAAATTGAAGTTGTTTTGTTGATGCCATTAATTTATCTTTTGCATGCATTAATGTTTAAAGACTGCATCAATATTTTTTGACAATAGCTCTTTTCCTAATTTAGTCATATTATACTGTTTAATTTTCTTCAAATTTTTGGTTTTATTTGTTAATTGCAGTATTTATTTATTTATTTTCTCTGATTGAACAGATTTAAAATAACTTTGAAAGTTTAGATTATGTCTAATGTTATATCCAATGNTTTTTGACAATAGCTCTTTTCCTAATTGAGTCATATTATACTGTTTAATTTGTTAATTGCAGTATTTATTTATTTATTTTCTCTGATTGAACAGATTTAAAATAACTTTGAAAGTTTAGATTTATGTCTAATGTTATATCCAATGGACCCAATTTAAGCTCATTCAAAAAAGTAGTGGTAGATAAAAGGCTTCTGAATGTAAACATAGAGAGTATTTTTTGTCAAAAAAATTCTTGGCTGCTAAAACAATATTAATCATCCTTGATTCATTATTTTTAAACAATATTTGATGCAAAATAATAAGTTTGCTTTTCAAATTTTATAAAAAACATAGTTTAAAGGTGGTATTATAACTCTATCTAATTCTAATAACTCTCCTAATTACAACTCTATCTTATTGTTTTTTAATCTAAATTAACCATTGTTAGACTATTTATGAGCATTTATAAACTCTTGGAACATTTTTGTACAGGACGTTTGCGGCAGGCATGAATATTTTGTCTAAAAATAATTCTCAATTTGCCTATTTGTTTAGGCTAACATTATACACAGTTTTATAATTTTCTTTTTAGCTTAAGTTTTAGGACAGTTAATGTTTTTTTTTTTTTTAATCTATAAAAACAGATTGTCAGAACAGATATCTATAAAAACAGTTATAATTTAGATAACTCTAAACCAGTTGCTGTTAAGAACAAAAGCTTCTATAACACTTTGATATTTTATTTTCAAAGAAAAAAGTGACATAAAATATTAGAATTTCTAACTCTCTTTCACTTAGAAATATGCTTCTACATATCTCTTTACATTTTAAAGCAATACTTATAAAATAAATAGGACATTAATTCTCTGACTAGTGAGGGAATCGAAGTTTACAAAAATGAAAAACTATACTTGACACACTGGTGTTATCCTTGTTAGCAATCTTATTCTATAAGAGTTTTAAATTATAAATGGATTATTTTTGTACATAATTTTATATATTTAAACAGAGTATTGTGTAATTTTGTTTTAAAAAGTTTTTTTTCCTTTTGCATTCATATGAAGAGTTAAAACTTGTGTTTAATCTGTTCTAACTATCTAAAATCTTTTTTAGAAGTATTCAGAAAGTGATGCAAGTGAAGAAGAGCTAGAACATCGTAGAAGACTACTGCTTCAACAGTTAGCTGCTCACCCTATTCCATAAACATTTGATTCTTATGCTTAAATTAATAGCAAGCAAGACTATCATTTTTTTTCTTACATAATCATTAAGAAAATAACTCATTTAAAATTATAGAATTTACTTTTTAAAATTATCATTTTCTCATTTAAATATTACTGACTTCCACAAATTGAACATATTTTTTTTCCTAATTTTGGAAATTATGTAAAGATGTGTGTGATGAATCATTAAATCTGTATGATCTTTGGTTTCTGTAACTATTTTTTTGTGTTGAATCTTTTGTAGTATTAAATCATTAGGCTTGTAATTACACTATTACTAATTTTTATCATAAAGCCTTTTCTTAAACGTTTAAAGATAATACTAAAAACTAAATTTTTTTTTACTGATCTTAGATAGTTTCATGTAGTTGATTTTAAATCTGCAATCGATTTTTCTCTCCAAGCTACAGTTTTTTTTTATTAAAATGAAATTTTTAGTTACTTTTTTTTACGAAATGTACTAGTTTAAAAATATTATGTATAACAGATGATCACATAAATGCTGTGACAAACTTCTAGAAGAGTTAGGTTACATTGCCAGGATTAAAATTGCATAGGAACCCACGCCTGGGAATATTGTCCTATGCCACTTTGGGTGCTTTCTCATGAACTGCTTTTTGCGTGCTTCTGAACAGGTTATAATAGGGAAGTGTTCCTAACCTCTTCTGACAGCATTTCCTGACATGGGTTTCTATGCCATTTTAACCATGATGATGTGCTCTAAATCCTTTAGAAGTTTGTAGCAACAATTTATATTTCAACAAAAAATAGACTAAATATGTCATTTAAAAAAAATCTAACTTTAGGAGCAAAACTAATTTCTGATTTAAAATCCCCACACGATCATATATGATCAAGTATTTGTATAAATGCAATGAAAAATTTGTTTCCCAGTGTTACTTAATTAAAAACACAGCTTTCTCCACAACACTAATTTTACATTCAGTTAATATCAATGTACATTAGTTTATGAGGATACGAGAGGATATTTTGTTGTCTATTATGGTATGATTAAATTATTCAACTATACAAATATTTCTAAAAACTTTTAAAATTCAGAAATCCAAATACTGCCTTATAATTACAACTGCAGAGCGATATATTTTTTTAGTATTGCTATGTAAAAATATTTGTTTAATATACTTTAATGTGGTTGATATAGCTGTAGGCAAAATTTAAGTACTTTGGTTACAACGTTAAATTTCTGTAACTTTTCTACTAACAACAACATTGATTAGAGTTGTTTTGGTAGCAGCAAGAATGAAATTTTAATCCACTAGTTATTTATGTAGGATAACGAAGCCAAATACTTTCTAATTACAAAAGTTGGGATTTCATATAAAAAAAAACAGACAATGTGCGCAAGTTGAGCCAGAATTTTTTCCCCTTTAAATACTAAAATTTAAGTACCTTGAAAAAAAATATAGTTTTGATGTATGAAGAGGAGTATTTATTTCTGTAGACACAATTACTATTTGTGAATTTCTATAATATTTTGGAGCAGTGCCTATCATTTTAATACACAAAATGACTGTGCTAACAAGAGTCATTTAAAATTTTCTTGTATGTAAAACAAAAATTGCAATTTTTCAAGAATTATAGAAAAGCACCATCTAAATTTATAACTATATAATACTGGTCACAGCCGACCGGACTGTGTAGTGGTTCTGGGTTTGAATCCCGGGCAAGACATGGGTGTTCTTTCATTCTCTATACTATCTGTCTTTACTATGGAGCAAGGTTGGCCCACCTAATATGAAGCCCCTGAACAAGTGGCCAACAAGTCTGCCCTACCGATACCTGAATGACGAGTGTCAATCGAGCAGGCATTGGAGAAAAAAAAAACTAGTACAAAAATTAAATATATGTTATATTGCCATAATTTTATAATAGTTTGCTTACAAATGTTACTTGAAAAAAAAAAACTTCGATCATGAATAGCTAAGGATCTCTATTTATAACTAATTTACCTTTAAGTTTCTCTCATAAATGTTAATATTTGTGGCTTTGGCAATGTTGATACCATGTCAGAAGGCTCCTTTTGGTAACACAAATGTGAGTTGAAAAATATCTTTGCATAATAAATTTTTTTATGTATCTAACCTAATAATTTCTTTTCCTTTTAAACTATATTTCCTGGGAGGTATTTTACAATTGCATTACTTTGTATTGTGTTACATTGCAGGTCAGGTTTTATATACTTTGCAGCTACATATGGTTAATGAAACTTCTTTAGAATTTAGTTTGAATTTTCAATTTAACTGTTATATATAGTATATTAAAAAGGTGATTGCAAAAACACTTATTAAACAAGTTAACTCTAGTTTAATGAGGTGTTTAAAATAGAAAACTAATGGATTAAGTTATGATAAATATAATATTTATCTGAGGAAAAAAAAATATTTTCTAACATAGTATACACAATACCTTGAAACAATTTAAAGTACTCTCTATAATATTTAAAGTGATAATGAAATAAAAAATTAAGCGATGTTATCCAAACTTCACAAACATTAACATGCTTGTCAGATCTTAAAATTATCTAAATTTTGTCTAAGTCAGTTGAAATCAAAAATATTGCTTCTCTTTAAATATATGAACAAAATCTTTGGCGAAATTCTATAGTTAAAGAAGTTGGAAGGTCTGTATGTAGCATATAACAATACAGCATGCCATTAGAAAAATGGGAATTTAAGCTTTTTTGCTTTATAGAATAAAATAAGCCACCCAAGAGCAAAAGCATTTTTTTTTTGATAGAATAAAAGAAACTCACCACAACTTAAAATACATAATTTAATGGAATTCATACATTCAGCCACAATAAACTTCATTAAAATCTTATAAAACAAGCTACAATAGATCATATTAAACAGTCAACATCTTAGGCAAAATATATATAAGTGCATAGTAAAAGAAATATTTTAAGCAGATTGTGATAATCATATATATTTAGAAAGCCTATAACTATGTTCCCGTCCTTTTCATAAGATTTGCTGTGTGTTTCTTTTGTAAGATTTCAAGTCTTCAACTTTTATCCTAAACCATGGTCTTCAAAAAATCCTTGTGGTGTCTCCTCCTGTAGTGTAAATTGACCATTGATAATTAATATCAAATGACAATACTGTGCATTGTAAACTATATATAACTCATTTTGTGAAGAGTTGTGAAAGTGTTAACATTAAAAATATTTAATATATAGAATTGAAATTATTATACATTAGTTCATCGAGCATAGCCTTTAATTACATCAATCACAAAGAGTACAATAAGAAGTGTTGAAATCTAGTACACCAGATTTATTATTTATCAAAAACCTAATTGAACAAAAAATGTTGAATTCAAATTAGAAAGATAAAGTGAAATATAAAAATGCAATATAATGTAAGTTTGCATGCCTTTATTGAAAGCTGGGTACTAGACAAAAATCTCTGCAGTAAAATGTTCACTAAGTTTATTAAAAAGAAAGACATTTACTACTAAACTTTGTTAATTATCTTAATGTAGCAATTCTATAGTTCAAATTTTGTGTGGATCATATAAGAGAAAAATAAAAATGCATCAGTTGCACACACTATTGGTGGAGAGCCAGGGGTTGCGAGTTTGGTCCTAGAAGCGGACAAAACCGGTGTGTTATGCAGCCAAATGCCTGTTAAATTTGTAATGACTAAAAGTTTTTTTGTTGGTTGTGCTGTATAAGTTAGGACAGAGAAGTACAAACTTAGGCATTGTCCATGTCATATGTCCGGGGTTCAAAATTAAATGGCATCCTTACCATGAAGGCAAAAAGGGGTTTAGTTACTGAGGTTAAGTGATGAGTGTGTACAGCTGATGCACTAATGACAATGCTTGGTGCAGATTCCTGGCACTTAGCTAATGTATAAATATCAAAGCTAATAATGCAATGAAATAAAAACTGGTGAGTCAAGTTTTTAATAACTAATGAAGAAAAGAAATAAAAAAAAGTTTAATAATATTAGTTTTGGACATAATAATTCAGTTATTTTAAATAATAAATAAGTTTCTTTAAAAAATTTATGTGTAAAATATGTTATACACAGTATAAGAGTGAAATTAATACTAATGGTTGTAATTTTATGAAGGTTTCCACAGACCTGGCATTTTACAGGCTGACTGAAGTCTGGATAAATTTTAGGAAAAAATTATCAAATGCTGTTAGTTTGTGAAGACAGCAAAAGGATAGTTTGATTTGATCAACATAGTTAGAAAATTCCCTCTGCTTTCTAAGCTTCTGATATGTATGTGAGTACTCACAATTTAACCACAGTTATAACAAAAAAAAAAAAAAAAAAAAAAAAAAAAAAAAAAAAAAAAAAAAAAAAAAAAANATACAAAAAGATTTATGATGCTTAAATTAATTTCAGTTAAGTGTATTCCTTTTGCACAATTCAGGAAAAAATATTATCCAGCAGGATTTCAAAATTCGAATGGTTTTAAAAGTAAAAATAAATGAATAAATAAAAATTATGATTAATGTTATAATTATGAATAGATGGTGGCTATCGTTAATGTTTCAAAAAAGGATTGATAAAAACAAATTAAGGCTTTAAACTAAATAATAATATTAACAAAAATATGCACAATAAGATATATGCATTGTTAAAATACAAAATACTTCTAGATTTTCCATTTTATATCCCATTTCATATAGAAACTTCTTATTTTATTGTGTGTTCTAAGTGTCATTGTCTATTATTTATAGTTATGACACCTCTCTAAAAATAACTGTTTAATTAGTTTTAAATGAGGTTTTTTCAGTTTCTTTTTGTTTTCTCGAATATCTTCTGAAGTATAGGGCTTCATCAGTCACAGAAATTGTAAAAAAATATCCAATGACATTTCTTTTATTTTTAAAAGATTAATGGTTAATTTTTTATTTAGATTTAGGAAAATATAAAATCAAAGTTAAGCTCTATGAAAAAAAAAATATTCCAACAGATGAGTCAATGGATAACCTGATAAAAAGTGACAACTTTGTGATAAAACAGTAAATATTAAATAAAAACAAAAAGCTACATTGGGTAAAGAAATGAATAAATCTCATTAAACGGAAAACTGAGATACTATTTCTTCTCAGATTCAAGTTTTAATAGACACATTAAGACATGTTTCTCACAATCTCAAAATCTAACTACGCTCATATTTTTGGAAGCTCATACTTAAATTATGTCTGAAATACTTTTAAGGTAATTTGCAAAAATAGCCCAAAAATAAAAATCACTACTGTAGTTATATAAGATTTTTAACGAAATCCCCCACGCTACACAATAAATGTATAATATTTAAGCTTTAAAAAAATGAAGAACAAAAACACATTTTTCACACATACACATAAATGTTTAAATGAATTTAATTTTATATTCTAGAATCATCTTTAGGCAAAAATTTAGCACAGCATCAATAAAAAATATTTGTAAATAGTATATAATTAATTTTATATAGTAATAAAAAAGAGGATTTTTTTAGGTAATTCCTTGTATACAAATATACTTTTAAAACTTACAGTACAATAAACATTTCAAATATTTTAAAGACAATGACACATTTAATATTTTTCTTAAAACATCATTTATCAAGCTCATAAAAATACTTTTCTTAACATACATAAATACGAAAAGTGTAATAAACATAAAATACGCACCATTTAGCACCCAGCACGGAATTGCTTTTTTTTAAAAAATAAAACTTATTATCAGAACTCATGGAAACAGAGGCAAATATTTAATTAGAATTTTGAGAAACGCCAAAATGAAGAGGTTAATGTAAAATGTATATAAGTTTTTTTAATGGTTTATGAATTTGGTTCTGACTTTGATTATAAAGATATAAATACTTTCCTATTTTCCTCTGCTACTATAGGCAAAAAAATTTGAATACAATTTAATTTTAATTAAATAAAATTTAAATAAACAATAAAATTATTAATATTTTGTATTACTTTGATAACATTTGAGTTATATCAACAAAATTTTGGTACTCATTGGCGGGACAATAGATTTAAAGTCAGCATTTATTATTCCTTCATTTTAGCAAATTGTTTCATATATATTATTTTTTTAAACTTTTTTTCTGTTTAAAATAAATTTATTTCCCTGATTATTTATATTCACTTTTTTTCTCACTATAACAAGCAACTGTAGCTTATAAAAAGCTACATAGCTACAATATTTATATAATGATATCTATTCTAAGGTAAACGTCTTAAACTTAACTATTTGGTAATGTAGATGATTACATTTAAAAAAAGATAGACATTGATAAGAAGCCTTATTTCATTTTTGGCATTCTAACTATTTGTGAAATTATTTAAAAACTAAGACATCATTGATATAACAGGTGATTTCTACAATGTTTATAAAAAGTTATCTACAATAACTGGAGTTACTAATGAAAATAAAATAAATAAGTATAATTTTATATTAACAGACACATTAATTTGAAATTCCAAACAAAATTGTTTGAATCAAACTAAATGTCTCTTATATTTGAAACAAATAATTTTTTGTTTAATTTTAAATTTGAGAAATTTTACGTGAGGCAACACTGAGAAATATTGTACATGTAAAATGTGCTTTACAAATATTATAAGTGCTAAGAAATATTAATAGTATAACTTAAAATGTTAAAAATTAAAGAATATAATTCATTAAATTAAATTTGCAATACTATAAATTCTTCAATAATCTTTTTCAAATATTAAAAGACAAAAATAATTTTATACAATGTGATGTTATTGAATGAACTTATGAAATTCAAATCAATATATGGCTTAGTAACCGATTCAGCGTTGCATCCTCAAGCTCACAAGCAGTAAGAATATTTTTTATTTTTTTTTAAAACTTGATTTTGTGACAGAACATAGTATGTTCATAACACTGTATCGGTTACAAAGCAACTTTATATATTGTAAAATTTTTGTGAAATAAATAAATATTTGACAAAATCTTAATTCATAAAATAAATTTTTCTATCAAAACAATTAATAATAATAAAAAAAAAAAATTCAGAATAATTTAAAAAATTCACTCACAAACATTAGCCTTATTAAGTTAATTGTATTGACATGCATTTTTAAAAATCTTTTTTGTTCAATTTTTGCCAAAAAATTTCGATTAAAAAAAAAAGATTGGATAACTTCATGCATTTATTTCTCCACTCCAACAAATCATTTGAAATTGATAAAAACTGAATTGAAAGTAAAGAAACTTATTTGTCGATAAAAGTAATTAAATAAACTAATAAAAACTAATCAACTAAAAGAATTGAAAGATTGTGAAATTGCAGACACTTTAATTATGAAATCAAATTAAGCTTTTAAAATATTTTTGAACTAATGCAATATTCAAAACGGACAAACAACATCAAAATACAGTTAAATTTGAATGAAAAAATAGCATTAAATTGTTTTAAATGAATAAAATAGAATTAAACTAAACCAAATTCTTTCAGTGCATTTTCCACAGCTTCATCCTTTATTTTAGTATGCAGAAAGAAAAAAAAGTTTAAAAACATTTAGTTACTGAACTAAGACGGTATAAGGAAGAAATTTATAAAGGAATAAATATTTGAAAATTTATAATGATAAAGCTTACTTTAGTTATAATCTTTAAATGTATCATTTCTTTCAGGGGAAAATAAAAATCCTTACACAGAAATACATTTTTAAAATTAAGTTTATTTTATAGTAGTTAAAAAAATAAATAATGCGACGAGTCTACTGAGAATGCATGCTATTTTCTGAACATAATTTTTTAAGTAAAAAAAAAAAAAACTTAAAAAGGGAAGAACATTCAGTTAAAAATTTTTCTATTATTTGAGAGACTTTAATGATAGTTTGTAGTTAGCTCTATAATTTGTATTTTATTTGTAAAAGTATTTTAATTGATATAAAATAAGGTTGAGTAAGTCTTAAGCACAAGAAATGCATAGCTAATGTTATAATCATAAAAAAAAAGAAAAATTCTCACCTCTTGTAGTAGATCTTGTGCAGCTATAGCTTTTAAAACATTCTTTTTGCTAGTTTCCTGGATTTCTCCCCCAAGAAGTAATTCATCAAGAATAAAATAAGCTTTTTCAAAGTTGAAAATGATATCAAGTTCACAAACCTAAAACATATAAAAAATTAGCCTAAATTTGCTGTAGAGCTTTATTTTAAATTTGAATCTTTTAATTATAGTTTAAATTTGAAATACAAATATGTATAGAATGTAGATGTTAAAAATGTATTATTTTGTGTTAAAAATTTATGTAATGAAATTCGGATACATATAAATTATATTTTAGTAATATAAATTAAACTAAACCTATTAAAACTGAAGTCACACTTGAACATTAACACAAATTTCAGTATCAATTGACAAAATTGAAGATTGACATGTACAGTGCATCAAAAAAAAAAGAGAAGAGAATCACCTTGTATAATTTTTGATCTAATGATTGGATCTTCACGTTCTACGACTTTATATAAATGACTCAAGGAGGTGTCATATACCTCTATACCAATCTATAAAATACCTCAAATATGCTAATTAATAAGCACAGACGATATTTTAAGTTACGAAATACTTTCGCTGAATAAACATACCCCTTTTTCAACGAATTCGGATTTCTAATCCCCGAAATGTAAGGGATCGCTGCAATCTGGGAAATATGGTCCCAATAATTTGGTCAGAAGAAAGCTCCAAAATTTAGACCCCTTAATGTTAATTTTATTTTTTGTATATTTCGATACATCTTGAGAACTTTTTAAGCGAATAGAAATATTTTTGCACACTATTATAAAATTCATTGGTTCAAAGATAACATCATGCAAAAAATAACTTTTAGCAAATATTTATTAATTTTTATTATTTTATTAATTAATAGTGGGAAAAATTTTGAATTGAAATGTATAAAATATTTTGCATCATTTTAAAGAATATAATTTTATATGACAAAATACAAACTTTGAGCAAAATTGGTCGAATAGTTCCTGAGAAATCACTTTTTAAATATCTGACTTTTTGAAATCCAATTTTTCAGGAACTTTCTAACCAATTTCGCTCAAATGTTGTATTTTGCCATGTAAAACTATATGCTTTAAAATGATGCAAAAAATTGTATACATTACAATTCAAATTTTTTTTCCGACCATTATTAAATAAAATAATAAAAAAGAATAAATATACACTAAAAGTTATTTTTTGCATGTAATTATCTTTGAATAAAGGAATATTTTAAACTTTTAGCAAAAAGTTTTCAGTTTGCTTAAAAAGTTCTCCAGATATAGCAAAAAAGTAAAATTAACATTAAGAGGTCCAAACTTTGGAGTGCTCTCCTGACCAAGCTATGGGGACCATATTTTGCAGATTGCGGCTACCACTTATATTTTGGGGGTCACAAATCAGAATCAGTAAAAAAAAAGGTAGTATGTTTATTCAGAGAAAGTAGGGTTTTGTGTCTGATTTTGTAACTTAAAATATTCTTTGCACTTATTAAATAGCATATTTGAGGTCATCCCCTCGAGCCAATAAGATAAAGTCCTAGAATGTGAAGATCCGATCATTAGATCAAAAGTTATTCAAGGCGGTCCTCTTTTTTGCTACTGTACATTGTTATGTAGTAAATCATAGTCAATTGTTGATAATCATAAAGTTGTAATAGGGCCATAGATTTTATAATTGTTATATTTATGTGGGTCTTTTATTCATTATCATTGTTAGGTACTTTAATTAAACAACTATTCTACAACACTTTAATTGTTAATGAAGCTGACCTTCAAGTTGAGTCTGTTAGCAAAAAGGTTTTTGTTGGAAAGCAGTGCCACTGCTGCTCCCTCATAAAGAGATGAATTTACCTAGCAACTTGCAACCAATAAGTAGAGAACATTATCAGTTACGACTTAAGTTTTCTTCTTCATTAAGTTAGAGATTTGGCTTGCTGTTAGACGAACCGGCTCTTGTGATGTAGCTGTAGGATTTTTCTGGGAGAATAAGTTTAAGATGGAAAAGTAGTTTTTTTAAAAATATCCATGATTCTTTTCCTCTCTAATTTGTCGAAGTTATGAATCCAAGATATTCCAATTATTAAACTTAGTAACTCTAATAATGTCAATCATTATTTTGCTTATATAAACTTTTACTAAAAATTTTTTTGCAGTAAATATTCCTTTTTTTTTAAAGATTAAATATCTTAGTTTTCACTAAATAGCATAAGTCAGTCTTAACTCATTTCCCCCCCTTTGTGTTGTATCTTCAGTTTAAATCCATAGGATCAATGTTAATAATAATAGATAAACAACATTTTCTATTTACCAAACATAAATGGAATAAGGTCAGTAAGGTTTGAAAACAACGGTAAAAATCATGGTTTTTACTGTCCTGTTAATTTAATGGTCGAAAACCCTTTGGTCTGTAATTAGATTTTGTAGAATTTAAGCAATGCCAAAAACTGAGAAATTGAAAATAAACCATAATACAAAATTAGCAAATTAAAATTAAACTTTCATTAAACATTATTTCTATCCTTTGATTGTAATCAATAAAAGTAAATTCAATCAAAATTATTTATGTTACATTTTTGGTCTTAAAGTGTACAAAAATAGACACAAAAGCATAATTTATTATAGTGTGATAATTAAAAGCATAGATATTAAAGGGTAAGTTCGATTTTATGTCAAAAATACTAAACAGTTAAAAAATGAGTAAAACAGTATAATGAATAAAAAATCAAGAATTAATAATAGTAAACAATAATTACTACCAAATTAAAAATTTAGCCTTCGAAAAATAAACTGAAAAAAAAAGGACACTATTCAACACTATTATGAAGTTATATAAATTTTTGAAGATATTATTTGAGTTTATGTATAATGTAATAATAGTATGTATAATGTAATAATATGTATATGTATAATGTAATATGTATAATGTAATAATTTATGTATCTGCAATAAAAGCGGCTTTTTAAAACGGACTAAGTTGTAAAATGAAAAATAAATTTTTTTCAAACTCAAATGCTGAAAATACTTAATGTAAAGAAAACTCAGGTGTTCAAAAGTGTTAACAGCAAAGAAAATAACTAAATCAATAATAATAATCAAAATTAAATTCAACTTTCATATTTTTGAATTAAAAAAAAAAAAAACTTAACACTTAGGGTACCAATTTTTAGGGGAGACCAAAACATAAAAATACAATTAACTTTATGAATAGAACAGGACCACAGATGCAGAAAGTGAGTTATCTAAGTAAATCAAGTGAAAGAAAATTATACAAAAGGTTTATAATACAAATTTACTGTGATTTTTACATCATGTTTTTATAAATTTTAAAATGTAACATTTTGAGAAATAATAAAAGAAATAGAGGAGGTTTTATTTCTTAATAATTATTCGGTTTTGTATAAATTTCAGCATAAAACACTATACTGATTAACATGATGATGAAGCATCGCAGATTATATTTGCACAGTTAGTGTTAATATCTGATTAACCATTTGATACGTACACTTCCAAAATATTTATCCAGAAGTTCCACATAGCGGTGAATAATCTCCAAAGTAAGAAGTTCATTATCACACTGTTCTACGGCACAACAGAAGTATAAACTTGCATACCTAATAAGTAGTCAATAATCAATAGTCAGAAATAATGAGTACGTAATATTAAATGGAAAAAATATTTAATTAACAAGAATTTCAAAATAAGGACAAATTTCTCACAAAAATTTGACAATCATTTTTAACATTTAATTATACAAATATTTCAAAATTAAATATTGAAGCTAGTGTAAGTGTTTGATAGATAACAATATGCAAGCACTATTTTGTTGCTGATGCAAAGAATGATCAGATTCTGATGCATGTTTATAGTATCAAAAAGACCACCTGTCCATCTAATTTGCTTATGTGGTCTCTATATGTTGTTTCAACATTATACTGGTTTGAGCTAATATTTTTACAGAATATTTTTACTTTTCATTAATGTATCATTAAAAAAATTTTGAATTATTTTCTGTTTCATAAACACAAAATAGATGGCATAAATTTTTTTTTGTTTATTTATTTATAACAAAATCTTAGCCCTACAATCACACATTTCCAGAATTTTTTTTATTAGTAAACCTATGTATAAAACAAACATTGTATAAAATTATTATGCTTAACATACTTTAGACTAGGCATTTCTTTATTTAAGGAATTATTGACATTATCAACCTTCACCTATCAAAAGGTACCCCAATATAGAATCAAGTTAAAATTTCTTATATACTAGTGAAGTGAGGTTTTTTAATAATTGCAGTGGAAGTTACACCACACTTTCTATCCAGGACTCAAAATTAGCTACAGTTCTTCAGGCAGGCACTGCTAAATACGCAGCTCAGACCAGCATGACGTAATTATCAGAAGTCCCATAAGACCAGCAACTGATCAATTAAGTGTATGCTGATATCCCCCCCCACAATTTGTCTGTTTTTATCAAAAAGTATTATACTTCATCATAATTGTGATTATTTCAGTTTCTCTGCAATTTTTCATCCAGCTTCACTTTAATAATTTTCTTTCTTATTCTTTACTTTTAATATTAAATATGATTTACTCAAGGCAAAATCATGAATTTAAATTCATAGAAAAACATCTGCCATTTAACCTATTTTATTAAAACAAAATTGCAATTTTTGTAAGCACAAAAAGATTTAAATATTGTATTTTTTAAAATTTGTTTTGTTTATTATATAAATTTTTTTTATTCATATAAGAGGCACTTGAACAGATCAGTGTATATGTATACTTAATTTCTATCCTTGCTTCTAGTTAATAATAACTTTCATCATAAAAAAAGTGTATCATACAGTTGAAGCTTGAAATTTTCTAAACAGTTTGAAATATTCTTGAATAGATTTTTTTATTCTTAATTTTTTTCTGAATGCAAAGCATTGTTTCTAAAAAAAAAAAAAAAAACTTTATATGCAAAGAAAATATGATGAAAAAAATTCAAAATTAATTGCAAGTAATATATTAAGAATCGATTTTGAAAGGGACAAGTTGATATAGATTTATTCATATCTAAAAAATTTTTTAAAATGCATTTATCTTTCACAATCAACAAATGTGCAACTTTACCCATGTATATGTCAATCCCTGGAATTTTGTCAAATTAAAGGGGTTTGAAAAGTTAATTTATGCACCAAGATGTACAGTATATGTAATGAGGAAAATGATATACAATATATGTATTTTCCTCATATATAACTTGACAAAATTAAGAATATGAAAAAAAAAAAAAATTAAGATGTCATACACAATAAAAACAGGCAACCCACAATATATCTAGTGATTTGATAAAATTTAAATGAAATAAATGTGCTTTATGGAAATTTGAAAAAACCTATACTGATAAATGTTACATTTATTTACAAAATAAAATTATTTCAAATTTTCTTTTTGAAAGAATGCAAAAGGTAACACGCATATTATAATTTATACTTGAAAGTTACGCAATCATTTCAAAATAAATAAATGTGAACCCTTTAGAAAGAAATACCTTTTATAAACAACTTTCAGTTCTCTCCATTCCAGAAAAGAACACATTTTTGGTTTTCTGGTTAAAATTGTAGTAACCAATTCTCTAGTTATTTTCTTTTTTAGTCGATCAGGATGAGCAACATACCACTTTTGAAGTCTCAACTTACCTTGCCGGCTAAATAAAAGCATAAATTGCATCTGAAAGAAAAGTTTTTAAAAATGAAAGACTGTTAATAAATAATGTGTACCATTGAAAAATTAATTTTTTTTACTAATCATTAAACACTCTAAGTTTGTTTATTTTACAAAAAAAGACTAAAATAATAATTAGGAGAAGATTGGGCATAGCGGGACCACCCCCTTTTAAATCTATTTCTATCCAACTCTTTTTGCTCACACGAAATTACAGATGGTATTTGTTGTATACAAGTAAAAAAACTACATAGGAAATATATCAAGGAAGTCACTTTGAGCAGATTTTATGTTTTGAACTGCTCAAAGTAATTTCTCTACCTTGAAGTTTTTTTCATCTTGTAAAGATTCAGCTGCTTTCTATATCTACTGAATAATATTTCTAGAAAGAAAAAGTTTTAAGGAAAAGTATCAAAAAATATAATTTGTTATTTATTTAAAATAGATCAATCATAATTGATAAATTTGTTTTTACACATATAATTACATCAGTAGGGAAAATTTTTATAGACGCTAAATTTTGTTCATCGATCAAGTTTTCAAGACACCGACTAAAATTAAATTCAGCAGCAAAAAATCATGTACCTTCGATAAAATGTTTAAGTCAAAGGAGGTAATCTCTAAGAACAATCAACCTCCATTTACAACCATTTTACTGTAGAGCAGAGAGTGGCTGCTCTCAAGAGGTTTCACTATATTAAACTAAATTCTTAAGTTAAAAGGGAGGGGAGTGTGGAACCTACGGCGAAAAAATTGCAAAATTTTGTAGCATCTGGACAGTAGCATGTGCGAAACTTTTTTAAAAAAAAAATCATAGAAGGGGAATAACTGGAAGGGATTTAACTTTTAACTTACTGGTAGTGACCCGAGGCATGTTATATATTTCAAAAATTTTGGGGAAGCACAAAGAAACCGTTAGAGTCTAGGGGATTGTAGTAGGTGTGTAAACAAGTACCAACACAAAAATATCTCCCAAAATAAAATAAAGTTAATTAGCTTAGTTTAGGGTCTTTCAAACCTAAGGTACGGCCTTACCTTTACTTATTAATAAAGAGTTACTACAGACATGCCAATGATATATTTCAAATAGCAGATCCGCCAGCTGCTATAGGTTAAAATTGCCTTATTTAAAAATGAATAACAGATGAAAGTTGTGAATAAAATCTTTACAATGTAGTAGTAAATGATCATGGAAACAAGAAGACGCTATGTTTCAGGATTATAGTTCATTATTTTAATTGTGAATCTCTTATTTCAATTTCGGTTTTTAGTTTTCGATAATCATAAAATGTACAGTGTTAGCTGGATTAAAGGATTTAAGATTAGTCTTATTTTTAACTTCCATAGAGCTACAAACTTTCTAAATTTTTTTTGAAAATTTCTTCGAGTGGAAGGTGATATTTCCGTATCATGATCTGTATCGCCAAGGGGCCAAATTGATTTTAAACTTACAAATTTAAAAAAAAAAATGTAGATGTTTGCCAGGGGGTGGCTAAGAGTTATACCTTTCGAGTTAGTCCCTTTCAAACAAATTTATACAATAAAATACGCCAATTTTTCATACAAACAGGGCAACAATAATGTGTCTGCCACAGATCACGATACAGAAATATCCCCAATTAATTTTCGGCTTATAGAATTTTTCTTATTTTTGAAGCAAAATATACAATTCAGAGCAAGAAAAATGGGAAAATAGTAAAAATTGTGAGTTCTAAGCTCCACCCTGAAGTACAAGCACATATTTCTAAAAAGTTTGCTTCAGAAATATCAAACGTATTAAAAAATTACCATTTTTATAAATAAAATATGGAATGTTAATGAGATAAGTAAAAAATTATTAAAATTAATACAGTGGTAACGGAAACAAAATTATAGTTCGTTCCGTCTGCACTGTTGCAGTAGAATTTGTCAACATTTATAGCTTCACTTCATTTCATCCTTGTGAACCAGATATTTTGAAAAATAAAGTAATTATTTTCCTAACTATCACAGATCCTTGCAATATAGTGTTAAGAACCTCTTCTGTAATTTAATAAGCTCTTATTGTGGCATTAAATAATATAACTATAAATTTATTTTTCGATTGTCTTTATGATAATAATGATTGATAATAGAACTGTAACTGCAAATAAACAAATACAAACTTTGTTATTCATCGCCAATTTTCAATAATGCGCCAAGCTAAAATTTAATTTTTAGTAAATTTATTTAGTTATAAGATAATCTGCCTCAATTTATTTACTGAAGAAATTAAGAGAATTTTGACGAGTTCTATAATCTGTGCTATAAATAGTTTTTTTAAATTCCATTTACTGAATATCCAGGAATAAAGAAAGCTATTTTGGCGTCCAATTAATGTGACTTTGACAGGTCGTCTCCATTTTTAGTTCTAGCAACCATAAGTGTTGTCAAATCAAATGCAAAACAATAACAAACAAGATGACACGATATACGAATGGACCTGTTTCTCAAATTATTTGTCGCAATTCAACAAATGGGTTGAGTTGGTCTAACAAACTTAATCTTTTATTAAATAGTTTCAATTTGAAGCGTAAAATAGGTATGATGTTTTATATAATTTATTATTAATGGGAACAGTAAAGTTATTATTGTCGTAAATGACACTCTCATTACCATAAAACCGGTTTATTTTTAGAAAAGTAATGTACAAATTTACTGTTTAAGTTATTTAAGAGAGTTAGATTTCTAGTTATTAGCTTAAAAAAGTATTGCAATACTTCGTATGCATTCAGAATGTTCAATAATTAGTAATGATTATGTGTGATAATTAACTGTTCATATAGAAGATTGTAATGAGCATTGATTGCTTTAAATACAGAACTATTATTTTTCTGCGAATTGACGTAATGATGATCAATGGAATGTTGTAACACCCGAACTACGTTAGGTATGGGAATTCTAGCTGCTACTATATTCATATTAAGCCAAATTTTCGACCAAATTCTTAAAGCTACTATATTCATAAAAATTATAAATAATTATTTTTTTAAGATCAAGATAAATTTATAGTATTGCAATTTCAGTGAATTAAAGAAACAATTAAAATGTGACAAATTATTAACATATTTTCACTGATTTAATGGTAATAATGTATCTTAAAAAATAGTGTAAATTACATAAACAAAGTAACAGCAAAGTAATGAAACTATGTTTCAATTGCTAAAAAATAAATTCTTTGGCATAATAAAAGTTCTAAAAATGTTTTATACCAAAGTTATTAAAACTTCTTTATTCCATAGCTAACTTAAATAAAAAATTTTTTTTTGCTGGGCATATCGAATAGGGATTTTTATAACGGATTTTGACAATAATAACAATTCCATTCAGATTTTGATAAATTGTGAAAAAATAGAATACTTTTGAAACTGTTATTAAAATTATATAGTACATTCTTCCTATTGAAGGTTATTTTAAAATATTTATGTAATGAAGTTATACATTTTTTGAATAAAAGATACAATATGCATTGCGTGGGAATATTTCCATATCATGATCTGGCTCGCCAAGGTGCCAAATAGATTTTAAACTTGCAAATTTTTTGAAAAAAAAAAAAACATGTAGATGTTTGCCTGGGGGTGGCTATGAGTTATACCTTTCGAGTTTGTCCCTTTCTGTGATGATTTTTTTTAGTTTCTCGTGTGCCACTGCCCGGAAGATCCAAGACTTGGCGATAATTCTGCCACAGATCACGATATCGAAATCTCCCCATTTACACAACTGCTATAGAAAAAAAGAAAACTAACAAACAAACTTTGTTTTCTGAATTTTATTATGTTACTAACATCAAACAAGAAAAAAAAAACTTACAAATATAATTTATAAAGTAATCTGCTATAATGATAAAAGTAAGGAAAAATTTAGAGCTTATTTAACTATCCGTGTGATTGAACTGTTAAAAAAAATCTCATCCGAAGATTTTCGACTTCAAAAAGCTGTAACTAAGTAATTAATATGAAAAATAATTGTTTTAACTTTGATTGTAGAACTGGGATATAATCTAGTTTACACTTAGAAGCAATTTAAATTATAAAAATGCTATAATAAGCAATTATTATAACAGCAGTATTTTTTAAAAATTTTAATGCCTCAAAATTTTAAAAATGAACTTTTAATAATTTTCTTCGTTATATTCAAGTTATTTCCCTTTTAACAGAGAGTTAAAAAAATGAAAGTGCTAAAAATCCTTTTTAAACATGGAAAAATAAAGTACCACCACACATCTTAGATTGGCTGATTGTTAACCATGCGCTTATGTCCAGAAAATTGATCTGACCTGAAATGACCGATTCCTTAGCCATGTTCATGGTAGGCTTTTAAGCGTAATCTGGAATCTGACATTCCCGATGGAATTCTTTCCTCTATTCCAGAAAGCTCGTGGTAGGGGTCCTGAGCTATTTCAAATTTGTGGTCTCATGTTGTAGTTTTATTTTTGTTTTTATGACTCATCGAAATACAAAAGAGTAGTAAACTTTTTAAGTCAGAGTAAATTTTGCACATTCATTAATTGAATTATTACAAAGACAAATTAGACAAAGTTGTAATAATGGACAGTGGGTCTTTTTTTTATCATCAGTTGTGTAGTTAATAAAATATTTATGTTAAAGAATATGAATATCTTAACATAGGGATTTGTAGGATAGTAATTCCTGATGAAAATGTTCACTTTTATTTGGCCTCTATAAAAAATTTCTAGTAAAATTAAATTTTATTTCATCTAAATGTTTAGCAAATACAATAAACTATGAATATTTTACAAACAATCGATAAAGTTTGTTAATAAAGAAATATCTTGTTATTTCTTATCTGGTAAAAAATAGAAGTTTAAAATCAGTGATTATAATCTGACAGAAGTAAAAAACCTTTATAATCCATATCTCTTCGAGACATTCATTTTTAGGGATTCTATTTTCATGCTTCTATTTAATTGTTTCATGCTTCTATTTAATTTTAATGCAATTTTATAAAATTGCATTAAAATTTCTTATGTTTGATCTCTCAAATATGTTTTCTGTGCTTAAGGTCCCAATGAAGAAGATTGTAAGTCATTTTCTATTGGAGGAGAGCAAGTGGGAATTATTAGACCGGATATTTGGCAAGAACTTTCACATTATCCTGATATATTTCGTTTTGATGAAAAACGCAGCCAAGTATTGCTCAATCCTGAATGGCGAACGTATGATGAGAGAAGTGATAAATTAGATCATTTTTTGAGACAATTGAGGACAAAAAATATATTTAGCACTTTAAATGGCTGGAGAAATGAGGTAAATGAACCAAGAAATAAGATCAATCTTCCTTTTTTTTTATTCTTGCTTTTATTTTGTGAAATTTTTTATTTCTTTTTCATGTATTAGTTTCTGACTAAAAGTATAACAATGCCACTAAAATTTTTTAGAAATATAACTTATAAATTTTATTTACAATTTTTATTTTACATTGGCTGGTTTTATAAACTTATATGTGATTATTTTATTGATAAACATTTTGGTATTGATTAAAATAAAAATTAGCTTTAAAACATTATCCTTAGTGTACTTCTTTGCATTGTTTTTCTATTTAAAAAATTTGCAATAATGATTCTTGAAATTGATTTAGCATTGCAGGTTAAATTATTCATGTTTTATAAATTTATGAAAGGTTGATATTGTTTATTTTTTATATTTAAGCAATTTAGATATTTTGATTATTTTTCAGTGCTATGATGTGAGTTCAAAATTTGGTGATGTTCCTGTAATGAAGATGGAACGATCTGCTACATGTATGCCTATAATCCATAAGTATCACATTTTTTTTATTTTTAAACAAAACAAACGCATAAATACAAAGAATATATATTTGTTGCCAAGAGGAAAACCCTGTCCAGGCGACAGAGAAAGGTAATACAATAAGTTTAAAATAGAAATAAAGAAAAAAAAAAGGGGGGATATTATAATCATAAATTATTTTGCTCATCATAAGACATATATTATTGAACACTGTAATAATAGAGGAAAAAATAATACATGAAGCTATATTAAAAAATAACAAAGTCAGCGTAAGAAATTCATTTTGATTGGCACAAGACTGGTATAAAAAATCAAATGCTTCCTTTAAAGTGAAAAATAGAGATCTAAATCGTCGATGTTCATCACAAATTGAAATAAAGCACTCTTGAAAGTAGAATATGTTTGGATATTTTGCAACTGAAATGATAATTTATTATATAATTTAGAAGCTAAGTAAAAAAACTGTTTTCTTGAAATTTCTTTTGTAAAGTGGGGAATCTCATATATTTCAGTTGGTCTACTTTCAGACACATTAGTTTTTAATTTGCATATTAATTTATTGTTGTGTAAATAAAGTAAAATACAAAGAAATACATTATGGCCAAATGGTAATAGATTAATTCCTGTATATATATTGATGGATACTTGAATTATTTATATTTAGAGAATTAATAATCTTGAAGCATTTATTCTGAACTGTGATTAAAGGAAGTAAATTAGTTTTATATTCACCGCCATATATTATTGTACCATAATTAATTAAAGAATAAAACCAGGAGCAATAGAGTGCTTTCACGAAATTAAAATGAATTTTATTCTTAAGGTGATAAAATTTAACTAAAACAAAGTGCAATTTTTAAATTAAATTGTTAAGATGTTTTTCTGTTTCAAATTAAAATCTATATATAGTGCTGAATATTTGATATTATTTACAGATTGTAGAATGTAGCATTGTCAATTTTCATTAGTACTTTTACAGGAGAGAGAGTGAAATTTTAAATTTAAGTTAAATTCTGATTTTCTTAAACTGAAATAAATATATTTAGTTTTATTTAGATTTAAATTTAAGTCATTTACTGTAAGCCATTTTGAAATTACGCATAAATCAGATTCAATTTGAAATATTATTTGATATTAATCAGTGCAAGAATACAAAATTACGGAATCATCAGCAGATATTATTATCTTACCAAAAAGTTTGAGTTGGCAAAAGTCATTGATGAATATAATAAAAATAAGGGTCCTAGAATAGATCCTTGAGGAACACCACGGTTTGTAAAAATATAATTACTAAAATTACTTCGGATTTTAGCTCTATGTTCTCTGTTTAAAAGATATGAAATAAACTAATTTAAAATAATTCCTCTGAAACCAGCATTTTGTTGGGATATTTATAAATGTTGTGTATTTTTTTAAAATAAAAACATTTCTTTATTAAAATATCAGTACAGACTTTACAAGTTCTGAAATAAAAAAATTATAGCAAAAAATATTATGAACTAATTTATTTTATATCAATTCAATCTTTAATTGTGCTACTTTTTTATTTATTTATTTATTGCTATCATGTTCTTTTCTTTTTTACTTCATGCTAACAAGTTTTTACCCACTATCTTAATGATTCTAATTTATTTCCCAAAGCTTAAAAAAGTTATGTTTTATGTACATAATATAGATTGTTGATGTAAATTAAAAAAAAATTATTATAAATGGATGCGTTAAATGTTAATTGATATGGCATAATTTTGATAATCTTTGTTGGATCATCGTCAAAATCTCATTTTGACGAAGGTTCAAATTATAATTCATGAATATATACAGTCAACACTTAATATCTAGACTCCTGTGGTCCAAACAAAAATGTATGTTGTAATGTTAGCTTGCAGTATCATGATTACATAAAATTAGTGCAAATATTTACTTTTATTTCAGAAATACTGGACTTATTTTGACTAAATCCTGATGCACTTATATAGAATAATGAAACTGACTAATTTAACTAATAAAAATTTTTTTTTAAGTCAATAAAGTGCAACTATATTTTAATGCAGTACATTAAAGGTTAAAAAAACTTTAAAATTTTTTTCAAATGTTATCTATTAATATTGTGCATAAACATTAGCCAATCATTTAATGCCTTTTCTAGATTTTGAAATTTTGCTTCACGAGAATGAGGTGATGAACTTAGAATATTTTCTTCTGTCTTTAGAATTACATCCTGTTTTATACTTATTGTAAAGAAAGTATCTTGAATATTTTAGCAATTTGTGATTTTAACGTTATTCTTCTATCCATGTCCTTTGAAATATTTAATTTATTCTCTAAGCATATAGTGTTACTTTGGTAAAGAGCAGTCACTTTCGTTAAATAACATACGTCCAGAAATCTAAAGGAAAGCCAAAATCAAGAATAATGTGAATAATATCAGGCGTTTCATCTCCAAAATAAATCACCTCTTACAACACTTCATGAAAAATAAGAAGATAGATTAAAATAATAAAGTAAATATAATGTTCAAGCTGAAAAAGTATGATTGATGAATATATTGAACTATTTGAAAAGTAATTTTGAAAGGTTATAAATATGCAGGGAACTCTAATTTCTAAATCATGATGCAATGTACACTTTAAATTCTCAATAATGGTAATTATCAATGTTTCACAATTCTTTTGACCATTGATTTTGCTCAGAAACTCCTAGATTTAAAAAAGGTGATCTTGTCACTCTTTCTTCATAGAGAATGTCTGTTGAGAGTTAACATCAAAAGAAACAGTGGTTTGAAGATTTTTCGAGACTTTTATCGTTTGACTTGTTGTCAATAGAAAAATTTTAATTATGAAAGTGCGAAAATGTCTAACACCTGTTTTCAGAGCAATTTTCTGGGAATTAAAAAAAATTAAACAATATTCTGTCACTATATTGAAATTAACAATTTAATTTGGATGTTCTAATCAATGTTAAAATAACATCACATCTATCTAACAGCAAACGGGACTTCTTGTAGCAGTTGTTATAATGGAAAGGTCACACTAGTGGGAAGTCGTACTAAAAAGTGTAGGATATATATATATATATATATATACATAATTTATTTTTTATTTATTTTATTTATTTATTTTTTGATACAGAGTCTC